ATCATTCTGAAGCATCATCGACCAGGACAAAGCACTGTTCAAAGCATCTGCTGATCATTCTGAAGCATCATCGACCAGGACAAAGCACTGTTCAAAGCATCTGCTGATCATTCTGAGGCGTCATCGATCAGGACAAAGCACTGTTCAACACATCTTCTAATCATTTTGAAGCATCATCGATCAGGACAAAGCACTGTTCAAAGCATTTGCTAAACGTTTTGAAACATCAAGTAAAGACCCTCAACCTACTTTCCTGCTGGAATTAATTGATGTACACTGCGATAACGTTCCGTTCTCTTCATCCATCCTTGGATTATTTACACACATTCTAGTTCTTTTAAATTTTTCTAACACATTTTTATAGGTTGGAGAAGAGAGCATAATGAGGAGCTTCACAAGTTGTACTCTCTGCCAAGTATAATTGGAAAAATCAAGTGCAATAAGATGGCAGGACACGCTGCACGCACGAAGAGAAGAGGAACGCATATTGACATACTGAGTTCTGCTGTGAGGGCCAGAAGGAAAGAGACCACTAAGAAGACCTAGACGCAAGTGGGAGAATATTAAGATGAATCTCAGATAGGATGGGCTGTTATTGACTGGATTTTTTTAATTCCAATAGTGGGGGGTGGAGTCCAGTTGGGTCTACTCGGTACGGCGGCCACTGATTAGCCTATTGCACCTGCCCTAGGTTATTATGGTGATGGACAATTTGGTGGAATGAAGATTGGAAAGGGAAAGCGAAGTACTCGGAGAAAACCTACCCCAGCGCCACTTTGTCCGCCACAAATCCCACTTGACCAAACCCGAGTTTGAACCCAGGCCACTGCGGTGGGAAGCCAGCGACTAACCGCTTGAGCTATGGCGAGGCCACTGTGGACTGGATTGATCTGGCTCAGGATATGGACCAATGGAATGCTCTTGTGAACAAGGTAATAAACCTTCGAGTTCCAAGACACGCTGGTAAATTATGTAGCTGCGCAACTAGCGGCTTATCAAGAAGGGCTCAGCTCCACAGACAACTGGGACTAGTTAGACAAACAGAGCTGTGAGGGAGATTGAAAGAATAATAGAAATCTGCCACAACAGTCGGAGTCAACATTCAAATAAGGGGGGACGGGAGGGACGTAGACCACAAACTAAGCATAACAACAAAGGAACTCCAATTCCACAGATCCCCCGGCAAGAGAATAAGTATACATAGTCGGCATCCCTTGTAAACATAAATAGGGTAAAGTACCACGGTAGCAACAAGAACACATAACAAACTAGGCCTAACGGACCTAATGACGGCACACAACAAACGACGCGACAGCATCACATCACGTAGAAATTTTGCGTTAACAAGGCGATGTATAGACGTGTAAGGTAATGGTATAAAGTTTCCCCAGTGCTTAAGTAAGCACTACGCCATAAAGGCGCATGGGAGAGTGGATATATAGATCCACATTTTCTTGACCTCGGCACTAATTGGAGTGGTCAGCTTCACGCCCCAGCCGCTTTACTGCCGGGGAAAGAGCCCCCGTTCCCATTTGATAGGAAGTTGGGCGGACCCCAGAGCTGGTCTGGACGACGTGGAGAAAATTCTTCACCCTACCGGCACTCGAACTCCGACCGCTCGGTCGTCTACCCCATAGCTAGTCCCTATACCGACTACGCTAATACTAATTAATTGTCACATTACATTTTAATTAGCTTATTTTATTTTTAAATTAATCTAAAAGTTAATGTTATGAATTTTAAACTAATCAGTATATCCCTACACAGCTAAATAAGTGATACTGTGCATAAAACAATACGGATCGATCATAACAATGGACAAAATTGTAATATATGAACCCATATACAAATTACAAACGCAATAATTTAGGTCTGCACAACGTATCGCCTCATGATGGCTTCACGGAAAGCCAAAACATATGGCGAAATTATGCTTTATCCAAAAGAAACGGATAATGCGATAAAGTGTGAGCGAATTGTTTGGCAGATCTGTCATGTCGACGGCAAAACCAACATAGGTAATTAATAATTAATGAATAGTTAATTAGTTAATACACTTTTACAGAGCAGTTCCCACATCCCTACTAACAACAAGAAACAGAAATTTAGAAGCTGTGTGCGGTCGGCTGGCAAGACAGTGTGGCCCTTTTAAGGAAAAACGTGGTACACCACAAAACTTACGTTAAGCCCTAAATTAATACACATAACAGTAAATGTTGAAACGTCACCATTCACTGTTGTTAACGTGTATCTATGACGTCTTTTGTTACTTCTGGTACTGCCTTGGTAACCCTGCGGGTAATGGTACCAGTTTCAGAAACGCTGTGACTGCGTATTCGTATTAGGTGTGGTACTCAACGTTACCACCCACACGCGTGCAAGTTATAAAGGTGGTATTCTGGGGGGCAGGTGGTGTTTTGAAAACAGTCGACAAAAAACGTATGTACATTACATGGTCTGGATTATAGTTGTGACAAAGGTTAATCCATCACCTAACATTAAATCATAAAACCCGAGATTTTTTATCCGGGATTGGGGAGCCAGAAAATGTCCTTACAAACTTGGGTTTAAGATGTCTGTGTTTATGTCCACCCAGAGAATGGGTTCCCTAACCAAGATCCGAGAACAGAACTTTGAATAAGGATATTCCGAGGAGCCCTGAACCCCCCAAACAATTCACCGACCTTGATGACTAAGGTAAACTCAAAGGTAAATCTTCCCCAGTGCTTAACTAATTAAGCACTCCGCCATTAAGACGTATGGAGAAGTGGAGGTATCGATCCACCATTCTAAATCACGACAAGAGATGCTAAGTGGTCAGCTTGGCCCCACGGCTGCTTTGCCCTCGGGGAATCAGACGCCGATAACGATTGGAAATGATGCTGGCTGGGTCCCAGAGACTGTCTGGCCACTGAAGGGTACATAAGTAACCCCCCCTCCCGGGGAGTCGAACCCTGAATCCTCAACTGTCCAGTCTGTAGCCCGTCACTATGCTAAAAAATAATAATAATAATAAAAATTCTAAGTTTAAACGCATATTATTAATATTCGGCGGATTTCATGTTGCCGGTCACTGCGGCCGCGTGGTCTAAGGCATGAACGGTCTTCGCTCGTTCGAATTCTGGGATAGTGGGTTCGAATCCCAATCAAGGCATGGATGTCTGTGTGTAGGTAGTGGCCTTGCGACGCGCTGATCCCCCGTCCAACATGTGTGTAGAGACTGAGCGGCCAAGGTCCAACAAGAGGACTCTAGAGCCACAGATAGATGTTCCATTTTGTTTTTCCAAATATCCGGCGGGCCCCAAGCCTGGTTTGCCGGCCCGGCGGCACCCATTGTTTTCACTCTTTCCATGTTTCGCGAATGGGGGAGCGATCCAACCGTAACCCCCTCCACCCAATCCTTAAATGCGACTCTGCTTGTAGTGAAAGCACCGAACTAGAATAAATTACGATGTCCGTTTCAAGCCAGCTGATACCTAACTACATGGGTCTCAGTCCTTGTGAAGCCGTCAGTCGCTCAGCTACTCAAGAATTTACAAACATTTTATGACATTCGATGGTTCATTACCGTGTTCGCAAGAGCCTTGCACTGGTCTCTATTATAAGCCAGATGAATCCAGTCCATACCTCACCGCCATCTTTGAGCCGATTGTCTAGATAATGTGGGACCCTCAACGTCTCACAACCCTATGGGCCTTCACGGCCTGTTACAGGGATAGCTTTACTTACTTTACCACCTCATCATACCTAAGATCCATTTTAATATTATCCTCTCCACTACGTCTGTGTCTTCCTAATGGTCTCCTTCCTTCTAAATTTCTTACCAAAATCCTATATGCATTCCCTTTTCTCCCCACGCCTGCTACATGCCATGCCCATCTCATCCTCCTTGACTACATCATTCTAATTACACTTGGCGAAGTGTACAAGCTATGAAGCTCCTCATTGTGCAGTTTTCTCCAATCTCCTATCACTTCAGCCCTCTTCAGTTCAAATATTCTCCTCGGCACCCTGTTCCCAAACACCTTCAGTCTATGTTCCTCACTTAATGTCAGAGAAAAAGTTCCAAAACCATACCGAACCATAAGCAAAATTACAGTTTTGTATATTTTGATTTTTACGTTTTTAGACTGCAGACGAGAAGACAAAAGGTTCTGGGCCGAATGGTAGCAAGCATTACTCTAATTCAGTCTCCTATTGGAGTCCTCATGAATCAACACATATTTAGTTTGGTTCTGGACCGCTTCGTATTAAGAGTCAAGCAGAGCGTCTGTTTTTCTTTATTGTATTTACGTTATCTTCCAACAGATTTACATGAACATACACTAGAAAGCCATACGTGTTCCTAATTCTGTTTGTGTACTCCGCAAACATGCGTGACCCCTGCTTTTTTTTTTTTTTTTTTGCGCAGAAACAAGTAGGAATTCCCCTGGCAGTGGGTGAAGTAGGTGGTTAGCCCTCCCCCTCCCAGCTGTTCACGTGAACATCAGCTGTCGGATTCGTGCAGCTATCGTGACCCAGCTATGACCATTGACGCAACAAGCATCTAAAAGTGTTGCTACTGTACACATATGAACTGGAAAGGGTCCCTGCAGACATTAGGCACTTATCTGAATCTTCAGACAAAAGATACGTAAATGGCATTTAACTTTTGCTCGCTGTCAACATATTATGGGTTTGATCTCCACAAAACCATATCGATTTATCATCTACTGCATTTCATGAATACACACGGCTCATTCGAAACAGTCAAAACAAACCACTGCAGAAGTGGTGACGATAAAAGCATTATTATTAATATCTATGCAAATTAATGAGTTGTTTATCCAGTTACGTTGTTAGTGAAGCCCCCAAAACTCACAAAGCCTACTTCTATGATTGAACCTCAGTCTCCAGCATTTCATACCACGCTAGATTAATGAATTATTATAATTCACTAGTCTTGACCTCCACTTCTGAGGCAACGGAGCATAGCAATGTCGCTGGGCTTTTGTACTTACTGAGGCTCGCGGTGGCGGGGTGGTTGGTGGTGACAGCATTGCTGCTGTTGGCCTGTCCATTTATCCTGCACCTTAATAAATCGATGTTTCCTCTTTGTTCACTTCACCTTTAGATCATACACGAAACTGAGTGAACTTCTGCCAATCCAAACTGTATTATTATGTACAATCCATGGGGTGTGCTGGGGGTCTCGACATATTCACGCCGTCTCGTATTGGGGCGGGAGTGTGCAACCAATGGAAAGAGGGGGCTCGACGTGGGTAGCCAATGAGAACACAGCTATCAGGCGGTTAGCGCGTGATCACCCTCATGGTGTTCACGTGTACAAGAGCTGACTGGAACCAGCGGAGACCGTGATTATGACGTCAGGAGGGCCGAGCCCTGACGTCACCAAATCGTCATATCGATTGTTTGGGATACTGCAGTGTGTACAACTGCGTCACAATATTTCATTTTCGCTAGAAAAGTGTGCCCTTGTAATTCTTTATAGTATAAGTGGGAATATAGATGAAATGATGAGCCCAGATGTTTCGAATAGCACAGTAGATCTAGTCGGATACAAACTGTTTTTGATTTATTTGCAAGTTCTTGAGACCTGTGTGGTACACGTCACGCGCAAGTCGCGCACGAGGACCATTAAGCCAACTCCGTAAGTGTTTGTGTTGGTAATCGTGATAATGGGGAATCCGTATTGTCTCTAACGTCACAGGCAGCGAACTGAACAGAATATTTCTCTTCGTCTGCCTTTGCAAAGTTTAAGCCTTCTAGACCCTTTCTAAGGTTAAAATATCAGTTCAAACTATCTCGACCTTGGTCTTCTTAAATCTCTTTTTGGTATCCATTGTCTGGCATCCAGTGAAAATGGTTTCTCCACGTTTCATAATCTTACATATTGTCGTCTGCAAATTTTAACAACCTCACGTATAGTTCCTGGGAGCCGGGATAGCGCAGTTAGCACAGCGGGTGGCTACGGGCTTGACAACTGAGGGGTTGGAGTTCGAGTCCCGGTAGGGTCAAGAATTTTCTCCACGTCTTCCAGACCGGCTCTGGGGTCCACCCAACCTCCCTTCCAATGGGTACCGGGGGCTCTTTCCCCGGGAGTAAAGCGGCCGGGGCTTGAAGCTGACCACTCGCCTCCAGCTAGTGCCGAGGTCTAGAAAATGTGGATCTATACATCCACTCACCCACGCGCCATGATGGCGTAGTACTTAATTAGTTGAGCAAAGGAGCAACTTTCCGTTACCTTATTCTTGGCCACGCCATAGCTCAAGCGGTTAGTCGCTGGGTTCCCACTGCGGCGGCCCGGGTTCGATCCCGGGTCTGGTCAAATGGGATTTGTGGTGGACAAAGTGACGCTGGGGCGGGTTTTCTCCGAGTACTTCGGTTCCTGCCAATCTTCATTCCACCAAATTCTACATCATCATAATCACCCGGGGCGGGTACAATAGGCCAATCAGTGGCCGCCGTGCCGAGTGGACCCAAGTGGACTCCACCCCCCACAATACGGATTTCCTTATTCTTGGAGTTGGGAATGTGTGTATGTGTGTGTGTGCGCGTGTGTATGTGTGTGATGAGCTACATCTACATCCACTCCCCCTTACGCCTTCATGGCGCAGTGCTTAATTCGTTGAGCACAGGGGCAATTTTACTCTTCACAGGGCGATTGTAAATTGTTGTCGGGGTTTCCGATTATTGGCTACGGAAACCCCGACAATAATTTATAATCACTCTGTATATCCACACGAAGATAAGGAAGCATGTGCAATGATGTTTCTATGCCAGGTTGAGGGGATGCCATTGTAAGGAGTCTAGAAGCAACTGGCTAAGACAAGGGCATTCCTCTGCCTGCCTTGCGGGGAACGTGTAACTTTCCGTTTTCCGAGACTTTTACCGAAGTTGCAGTTTACAAAAATACCTCCCTCGCTCTTCTTTCCATGTGCCCTGATATCAACAGCAACACATCTTCGAGAAAATTTTGCCTTTAACATTAGAACAACAGAAAACATCTCCATTCAATTGTAATATATTGATGTTATATTTTAGCGTCCTGTTGCACTGATTTAAGTCCATGATTTATTTTATCCGTCTTCTAGTGCATACANATTTTTAACATTTAATATTCATCAATATATATAAATATATATTTTAGTTATTTTAGTATGTATAGACAAGGCATGCAATGAACTAGTTTGTCGTGGATTGGATCAGCACCTGAAGATGGCACTTTTGTGCCGAAACATGTAATACATTGATCCAATTTGCTGAGTTGGCGAAATTGAATCATGCAGGTCATCGAAAGCATTCGAACAGCTGGAAACATTTTATAGAATCTGTAATTCATTTTGCGAGTTCTTTCTCATTCATCTTCTCCATGGCATGGCATCATCTCAGGCTTCTTGATATCAATAATAGCAGTATGAAAGGTAAAGCTATCCCTTTAAGAGGTCGATGAGGCCCATAGGGTTGTGAGACGTCGAGGCTTCCACATTTTCTAGAGAATCGGCTCACAGATGGCGGTGAGGTTGTCAGCATTACGCGCCGGCCGCACCTTTACTCGCAGGAAAATTCCTGGCACTCATTTCTGAGTTGATCCCAAGGCCATAGTGCGGCTGGAAAGATTACATCAATTGAAAAATCCAGTGACCTAATCGGGAATCGGTCCTGCGACCTTCCTACTTGTAGCATTTTGCCTCAACCAACTACGCTGCCGCAACCCGGGTAAAGTAAAAGTAAAGCTATCCCTGTACCAGGCCGTGAAGGCCCATAGGGTTGTGAGACGTTGAGGGTCTCACACTATCTAGACAATCGGCTCAAAGATGGCGGTATGGTTGTCAGCCTTACGCGCCGGCCGCGCTTTACTCCACAGGAAAATTATTTAGTTGAGTCCTGGTACTCATTTCTGTTAGAGGCTGAGTCGAACCCAGGGCCATAGTGCGGCTGGAAGGATTAGTAAATAAGTTTCCTAACTCCCCCACGAAGAAACTGATTGTGGGGGGGGGCTATGTTACAGGAAGTAACATGTTGTTTACATTCCATACGGTACGGACAATACTTTGTAAGATGAGACACCGACTACACAGTTAATATTAACATCTACATCACGTGCCTCCTACACAATCTTGTATACAAAAAGAAAAAAATATAGAAAATTCAAATTTGTCCATGGGAACGTACGAAATTACAAAACCAACTACTGAGTCGATGTTATAAAACATCAATTAAAATTTTATTCTTGTTTTACAATATAACTTCTGGTTTATATAATCTGATTATTGTATTTTTTACCTCAAGTGTTTTATATGATTAATAGTATTGTATCCAGTTTAATAGTACTGCAGTTCAATGGTGTATATATGTTTAACCATGTATTTGCCTGATGATGGCTATTGACAGCCGAAATAGGTAGCAGAGCCGTAGCTGGGCATTGACCTTGATATTTGTTGTGTTGTGACAATTAATAAAGAGGCTGTATATTGTAACACAACGGGATGCATGAAATGAAACGAAAAATAGTATTCCACATACTGGATCATGCTAAAATTAGGAATCTTTCGGAACCTGTTGAAAAACTCAGAGATTGGGAGCGGTTTGAAAACCCCCCTTCTGAATTTATATCACCTAAAATAGAAATTGCCGGTCACGGTACCCGATCGGTCTAAGGCGTGCACTGTCTTCTCTCGCTTGGAAGCCGGGATCGTGGGTTCGAATCCCACTCAGGGCATGGATGTTTGTATGCGTTTTTCTGTGTTTGTGTACAGAGGCCTAGCGACGAGCTGATCACCCGCCCAAGGAGTCCTACCGTATGTCTAAGATCTAGAAAAACCGAAGTGAACGGAGAAGTTCATGGAGGTAGGCCTAGGCCCACTGGGACTGTAGTGCCAAGGGGGGGGGGAATAGAAATTAAGTGGGGGTAGAAGCCGATAAAGCGGCGCGCGACTTTGCAGCCTCTATTGCTACGGCATATAGGTTGCCGACAAGTGAAGTTACACTTTCGGACATAAACAACGAACTTCCTGGTGTAGATCGCTTGTTAAAACATAAGCAGAGGCTACGAAAATTGTGCCAAGAAACCAGGGATCCAGCATGCAAAACGTCAGTTAACTGGGTCACAAAATCAATCAGGCGAATGACCCGTAAAAAAGCAATTGAACGGTTGGAAACAAAAATAGGTAACGCTGAAGTCACACCTCAGGGTATATGGTCCACTGCGAAATCTCTCCTTAAGAGAGACGGACAAGGGCACCAACTCATATTCATGGTTCTTCTGGCCTTAAATTTCATCCTTCTGAAAAAGCCAACGCAATTGCTGACTCTTTGGGAATTCAGTTCACTCCACACGACCTGTGTAACGATAACCATGAACGGCCGGTGGAGGCTAGAGTTCAAGCTCTGCTCGAAACCATAGACAACAGCCCCCCTCTAAGGATAAGACCATGTGACGTACAGAAATTAATAAATTCCTTGAAATTGAGAAAGCTCTGCGGAATTGATGGAATCCCAAATGAATGCCTCAGGCACCTTCCAAGGCGATCATTGGTTCACCTAACTCATCTATTCAATCATTGTCTTCGGCTTTCCCATTTTCCAAATACTTGGAAAGAAGCAAAATATAACTTTACCTAATCCCGGTAAAGACCCGAAATCCCGCAAAATTTACGTCCGATCAGCCTCCTGTCAACGACAGGAAAACTATTCGAAAAAGTGATTTCTTGCTCTAAAAACATATTGAAGAAAGAGGCCTGCTCAACGCAAGCCAGTTTGGTTTTCGTGCACATCACAGCACGGCATTGCAATGTATGAGGCTGGTGGACCACATGACCCTTAATTTCAACATTAAAATGTCTACAGCCGAGATGTTCTTGGACACCGAAAAGGCCTTTGATACCACATGGCACTCAGGCTTGCTGTATAAATTTAAGAAATTAGAATTCTCGAACAGTTTGATCAAACTTATTGGGTCATTTCTATCTCAAAGTAAATTCAAGGTTTCGGTTGAAGGCGAAATGTCATCGCCAAGGGAAATGCAAGCAGGGGTGCCACAAGGCTCGGTCCTGTCCCCTACTCTTTTCAATCTGTATATTAATGATGCCCCCCAAACACATGGGGTTCACGTGGCCCTCTTTGCAGACGACACCTGTCTGTATGCGACAGATCGCAAGGAGGGTTTTGTTGTTAGAAAACTTCAGCGCGGTCTCAGCTCAATGGAGACCTGGTATGAGCGCTGTAATATTAAAATTAATGAAGATAATACTCAGGGGGTCTACTTTTCTCGTGGTCGTCGACCGCCTGAGTCTTGTTTTACTCTAAATGGACGAAATATTCCATTTGTAATTAGTGCAAAATATCTAGGTGTAATCTTCGATAGGAGAGTTACATGGAGATTGCACATAGATGTGATCGAAGCCAAGGCCTTCAGAATATTCATTATAGTATATTCCCTATTCAAAAGTGAGCGATTGAGCTCTAACATTAAACTGACCCTCCACAAAATTCTCATTGGATCCGTAATGACTTATGCCAGTCCCGCCTGGGAATTTGCGGCAGACACCCATCTAATGAAGTTGCAGCGCCTGCAAAACAAGGTTCTCCGCACCCTTGGCAATTTTCCGAGGCGCACATCGGTCCGCGATTTGCACATGACATTCAAAATCCCGTACGTATATGACTATATAACAAAATTATGCAGGAAACAAGCAGAAGTCATACAAAATCATGAAAATGAGAATGTTCGCAACATCGGACAAGGCGAAGCCCGACACAGAAAGTATAAGAGGCTTAAACTTGGCGGCGGTCAGGCATACGACCGTTCAAGTGACTAGACTGCCGTGGTAGTGAATACTACTAGAAATAGGGCCTAGTCTGCTGGACTGACAGAGGCCTTGTATATATTTAATACATTTATTATCATGTTTAACATGTAAAATGTAAATATCCTTTACATTATGAAAAATTACTTACTACTACAGACAATGACTTTGATAGACCCGTCCTCTCGTCAGAGAGGAATAATTAAGTGAGACTGAAGACAGACCTATCGAGCATATTTTAGATTTCTGCAGCTGCATTTGTTTTTTTTTGTTTTTTGTTTTTGTTTTTTCATTTTGTCAGACATTAGACAACAGCCACTTAGTGTTAATTTCGCAGTAGGCTCCCTTTTCAGTTTCGGTAAAGTGCCGTTCATTTTTCCCGCTCGTAAATGACAAGAAAGAATGAATCAACAGACGATCTAATATGAGGGGTTATGACTTCTTTGCATTTTGCCTTGACGCCAACCTATGTATATCCACAGATTGAAAAATCAAAGCTCGATTTAATAGATTCTGTTTAGAATGCTCGGAAGCTCATGATGCTCGTGATCGCTCATGATTGCATGGAAAGTACACTGGTCAGGCGGTTTCGATTTGTGATGTTCTGTGACAGTATAAATAGTGTGTTGTATTTTGTAGTTCATCTTATTCAAGTAGTGCATAGTGTCATTAATTTTAGTTAATTTTCTATTTTCTCTGTTCCAGTTAATTTTGAGTCTTTAGTTTTAAGGAGTAAAATACATATTTAATATTGCATTTTGATATCCGGTTTTGTATGACTGAGGCTTGAACCGGCTTGAAACTTCACGGTAAAGAAAGGGCGTAAATGCAGAGTGTTTTGACAGTGAAGTGCCGAGGAGAAAATTGGCTCCTAAAAGAGGAAGGCCATAGTTTGAGCCTCATCTTTAAGAATTATCACCAATTTGTCTGATATATATTCTTTCCCCCAATGAAATCAAAGAAGTTACAGCCGGGTCAAGTAATTGAATTCATTGTATATCCAAATGCACAGTGAAATCCCATTGCCTCTTGGAAATACAAATACTTTTTCCTATAAAATGTGATGTGTTTAAACAGCACTTATAACCATTATGTATACTTTCAGGATCAACAGATATCCCAATACATATAGAAAATGAGAAGTTATGTCACTGGGATCGCAATAACCCACTTTTTTACACAACCAGCAATCCATCATGTGTGATGAATATATTTTAATGCTACAGAAAAATCTGCAGTCTCTTGCAACAAGAGTTCCAAAAATTATGTTGCAGAGAGTTGATGAAGTATGGCCTGCTCTGAAGGAAAGCACAGTGAGTGTTCTGTGTATATATGCAGAGAAAATTATATTATAATCTTGTTCTCTGCATATACATGGTCAAAGAAAATAAATATTTTTTGATAACCAAGTATTAATTTTCATTTACTCAGTTCTGTAGGCATGATTGTGTACATTAGAAAGGTTTAGTGTTTTTAGTGTTAGCATGTCCCTCTGAAATGTTGGTTGACTTTTACCAGACTACTTGCTATTATTTCCCAGAAGATAGAACTCTTTATAACCACTTTTGTGAGAACTTAAAATTCTTTGTTACTGAACATAATTATAAGAAACTTTCACAAATCATTCTACACACTTGGGAAATTTGTTGTCATTTGCAACACTTAACCAAGGAAAAAGATGGCATTGTATATGACTTACCAGAAAGTGTTTGATATCAAAACCATTTACTCATCTGGTGTTTCCAGTGTTGTTATGGAGCGACAATATCATTGAGAGTTTTCTCTTCATGTTGCACCATTGAGAGATACTGCGTACTGGGTTGTTAATCAGTTTGAAGAACCAGGAATTGTGTGTGATGTAAATGTAGCACATCTGTTTGCACAGAAGTTGTTGGTGCATCATAGGAGCAAGAAAAGTCCAAAGGAAGTCTCTTACATTTAGTATATTAAACTTGGGTCACGACCAGCACCGCATGTTCTCTACAAAATTCAGATGAGTCAGCCACAGCTGGAAAATGGAATTGTGAGACATTACACTGTTGTGAGAGAGTACAGTCCAGTTGTCTTGAATGTCACAGGGTTTTCTGATAGACACTTCCATTTGGATGGTTTCATTAGCAAGCAAAATGATATTGAGGCCCATAGAATCTAAGGCTTACTATATTTGGTACCGTGTCGATCGATGATACAGTCATCAAGCCATGTTACAATATTAAAGTGGGTCGTAAAGAGATAGGATTCATTAGGCTTAGGACACAGATCAGTGATGGGCTCCAATAAATATGGTAGAAAACCTGTTATTTCCATAAAATTCAGAGAATTTTTAGTTGCCGAGCAACTTGTAGTGTCTCAAGTATGAATTTAGTTAGGTAGTACAGATTTTGATAATTGTAAAGAATGAAATCTGTATGAACGGCTATTATCCATTTAATACAATGCAAAATGGTTGTGTTGGAAGTATGTCTTATTTCATGTAATGAGAGAACATTCATGATTGATGTAGTATTGTGGTTTTGCAGAACTGTGTGGATATACTGAAAGTTGTACCTGGTTCATGTGGTGAGACAGGTGCAACGTTTTCTGATGATGGAAGTGGGGTCATCAATGTAAAAGTTGAGGAGGGTACAGATATACAAGAGGTGGAGGATCCTGTACCTATGTCGTGTTCCTTAATAAAGGGTGAACATGAGGTGAGTTGAACGTGCATGTGTTCCTATTAGGCACACTTTACAAATATCCAGAATTGTTTACTGACCTTCAGATCTTTATTTGCGTGTCTGTTCATAATAGTTAAAAGCACTGTGGTGGGGAGATTTTGAGTTCTTTGTAAAATATTTGAAGAGGATATTGTATTTTGTTGCATCTTGGTTTGGAAGTTCCACTTCTGTTCATTGTTATGTTACTTACAGTTACACAGAACTAAATATTTAGTAAAGTGAAAAATATCTAGACAGACTTCCTGGCCACAGTAATTCCTCCCTAGTTCCACTGTCATCATTCAGAACAAAATTTGTTACTGAATAACCAGTGGCTCTAAAACTGTCAGAGGCAATCAGAGCTCTGCATTCATTATCACTGTAGGAAGTCTGCCCCTCTCACCCGTCTCCAGTAGGGAAGAGAGAATATTGATGGAATAAGTGGCATGCCAAATTGTGCTCAAATTGAACTATTATTTAAGATGATTTTACTGTGTGTACCCATTTGTTTTCTTTGAAAATATGGAGGGAGGAGACTGCATGGGAGAGTGGGATGAAGATGGGAAAATAATTTTAAAATTGATCTTAAGACCGCCTCTGTAGTCTAGTGGTCAGAGTTCCTGGCTACAGATCCAGAGGTCAGGGTTTGATTCCTGGTGCTACCAGATTTTCTGAGAAGTAGTGGGTCTGGAACGGGGTCCATTCAGCCTCGTGAGGATAATTGAGGAGCTATTTCAAGGAAATAGGGGCACCGGTCTAGAAAACCAAAATTAATGGCTGTGGGGATCCGTTGCTCTGATCACATGACACCCTCTGTCTGCTAAAGTTTGCACTAACTTCGCTGACAGGCAGCAGTCGCTCAGTCAATATAGTTCACTTGTGGACTAAAACCACATAGTTTTCATTTTTTCTTAAAGGAATAGTCTGTGAGTTTGTGAAGTGGATTAATTTAACTCAGGATAGGGACCAGTGATGGATTATTTTGAACATGGTAATGAACTTACAAGCTCCATAAAATTCAGAAAATTTCTTGACTAGCTAAACAACTTTTGGGGACACATGGTAGTGTAGTTGGTTGAGGCACTATTCTACAAGTCCGAAAGTCGTAGGTTTGAGTCCTGATGAAGTGGATTTTTTTTTCATTTACCTAATCCTTCGAGTGTGTAAGGCTGACAACCTTACTGCCATCTGTGAGCTGATTGTGTAGAAAAAATGTTGGAGCCTCAACGTCTCACAACCGTATGGACCTCCATGGCCTGTTACAGGGATAGCTTTACCATTACCTAAACAACTTGTAGTTTCATGAGAAATAGGAGTTTAATTAGTTAATATTGAGTTTCATAACTAAAGAGTTAAATATTTACAAACAGCTGTTGTCCAATTTGTGTGATTCAAAACAGTTCTGTTGAAGTATATCTTATTTCGAGTAATGAGAACAGAGTCATGATTGATGTAGTATTGTGGTTACAGAACTGTGTGGATATACTGAAAGTTGTACCTGGTTCATGTGGTGAGACAGGTGGAACGTTTTCTGATGATGGAGGTGGGGTCACCAGTGTAAAAGTTGAGGAGGGTGCAGATATACAAGAGGTGGAGGATCCTGTACCCATGTCGTGTTCCGTAATAAAGGGTGAACATGAGGTGAGTTGAATGTGTGTCTATGGTAAGGTAACAAGAATTTCCAAACAGTTTATGTAACCTGAAGGTTCATTGCCATGTTCACAAGAACCCTCAGTTAGGCCCTATTCTGAGCCACATTAATCCAACCCATATCATCCCATCCTATTTGTCTGTAATCCATTTTAATATTATCCTCCAATCTTTGTGTGTGTCTACCTAGTGGCCTCTTTCCTTTTGGCATTCCCACCAAAACTCCTGTATATGTATTCACTTTCTATGCATGCATGCCATATGCCCTGCCCACCTCATACTCCTTGACTTCATCATTCTAATTATGCTTGATGACAGGTACAAGTTATGAAGCTCCTAATCATGCAGTTTTCTCCAACCTCCTGTCATTTCAGCCCTCTTCAGTTCAAATATTCTCCTCAGTACCATGCTCTTAAATACATTCAGTTTGTGTTCTTTCCTTACTGTCAGAGACCAAGTATCACACCCATACAAAAGTACAGCCAAAATTATAGTTTTGTATATTTTAATTTTTATGTTCTTAGACAGAAGTTTCTGACCTGAATAACAGCAAACATTACCTTAATTTAATCTGATCTTAATTTCTCCATGAATCAAATTTGTTGCGTATGATGATTTTACTGTGCATATCTATTTGTTTTCATTGATAACATGAAGGAAGGAGACCACTTGGGAGACTTGGGTGAAGATTGGAGGATAATATTAAAATGGACCTTAAGGAAATAATGTGGGAGTCTCTGAACTGGATTAATTTGGCTTAGGATGGAATTTTGTGAAGATGGTAATGAACCTACAAGTTCCATTAAATTCAGAAAATTCAAGAAGAATGAATTTAAATTCAGTCTGTTAATATTGAATTTGATAACTGTCAAGAGTAAAGTCCCTATGAAGAGCCGTTGCCCATTTGATGCAATACAAAATAATTGTACTGGAAATGTATCTTCTGTCTTGCAATTGGAGTACAGTCATGATTGATGCGGTTTTGTGGTTTTGCAGAACTGTGTGGATGTACTGAAAGTTGTAGCTGGTTCATGTAGTGAGACAGGTTCATCATTTTCTGATGATGGAAGTGGGGTCATCAATGTAAAAGTTGAGGAGGTTACAGATATACATGAGGAGGGGGGTCCTGTACCAATATCATGTTCAGTAATAAAATGTGAACAGGAGGTGAGTTGAACGTGTCTATATACCAAGTGTTCATTGTGCAGGCTTATCAATTTATACCTTTTCAATCTTGCAATAGCAATTTCAACCTCAAAAGGGCTAGGATCAGGTACTAACAGCTCAGCTGTATGGATTTCTGTCTGCCTATGTACATTCAGTAACAGTATTTCTTCCATCAGATCAAAAAATTGTGGAAATCTGCAAGCAGATCACCATTCTCATCCTTCACTAAGTTACTTCTAGGTTGGTAACCCCTCTTAAAGTCATTTATTCCTCTATACAGGTGTCTAATGTTCTTGTTCTTACTGTTCATTGCAAGCTCATCAATTTTGTCTTTCAGATATTCCCTCTTTTTGTTCCTGAAATATCTGCTGGTTTCACTTCTTATATTGTTCAGATTATCCCCATTTATTTGGTTTGGATCCTGTAACCAGTGCAATTTGGCTTGTTTCATTTAGTCTAATAATTTTGAGCATCCTTCATCGAACCATGGCTTATGCTTATTCAGTTCATAATAACATAGACTCTCTTTGGCAGAAATTTTTATATTCTCTCTGATAGTTTCCCAAGCTTTATTAACATCCACCTCAGTGTCGTAAGTTTTCCAAAGCTGCGAACCTATTTGAAATTTCAACACGATACTGCTCCTTACATCTATCTTGTTTAATTTCTTAAGATTGAACCTCTCTATATGAACTCTGTGATTTTTTGTATATTTACAAGTATATTTTGCATTACCTTTACAGATAATTCCAAATGAACTGGAGTTTGTACATGGCAGAGAGCATCCATATTTCTGTGAAATATGCACTAAATCATTCAGTAGTGACGCCTGTATGAAGATTCATCTATGTAGTGGAGTACAGCCATATTCTTATGATGTGTGTACTAGTTCATTTAGTAGTAAAAGTAGTCTGAAGGAACATGAACACCTACACAGTGAGGATCAGCCTTATTTCTGTTTTGCATGTAACAAGTCATTTAGTAGAAAGAATTATTTTAAGGCACATCTAAACAAACATAGTGGGGAGCAGCCATATTCCTGTGATGAGTGTGGTAAGTTATTCATTAGTAAGTGTTACCTGAAGAAACATAAATATACACACAGTGAGGAGCATCAGTATATCTGTGATATATGTAATAAGTCATTCAGTAGAAAGAATTATTTTAAGGCACATCTTAACAAACATAATGGGGAGAGGCCATATTCCTGTGATGAGTGTGATAAGTCATTCATTAGTAAATGTTATCTGAAGAAACATAAATATATACACAGTGAGGAGCATCAGTATATCTGTGATATATGTAATAAGTCATTCAGTAGAAAGATTTACTTGATGACACATCAGAACTTGCATAGTGGGGAGCGCCCCTATTCCTGTGATATGTGTAATAGGTCATTTAGTAGTAGCTATTATCTGAAGAAACATCAATATCAACACAGTGAAGAGCATCCATTCTTCTGTGTTGCATGTAATAAGTCCTTCAGTAGAAAGAGTTACCTGAATGCACATCAAAACTTGCATAGTGGGAAGCGCCCATATTCTTGTGATTTGTGTAATAAGTCTTTTATCAGTAGGTGTTATCTGCAGAAACATCAACGCATACATACTGGGGTGCGCCCATATTTGTGTGATGTGTGTAACAAATCATTTCATGTTAAGAGTAATCTGAAAGAACATCGGCGCATACACAGTGGGGAGCGTCCATATTCTTGTGAAATGTGTAATATGTCATTCAGTACTCAGAGTAGTCTGAAGAGACATCAACGCAGACATACAGGGGAGCGACCATATTCATGTGATACATGTAATAAGTCATTCAAGAGCATGTGTGACATGAAGAAACATAAACATGTACATAGGAGTTAGCTTGTATATGTTTGTTGTATGTGTAAGAAATCATTTTATGTATAATGTAGTATGAAGGTACATAATATGAACACTGTGAGCAGGATCCGTATGTCTGTGATACATATTGTGTGTGTGGGGTTCCATAACTAATTGTAATGGGTTCTGAATTGGATGATTGGATTTATTAACATCTTATACAATCAGCACGTACTTACAAGCAACACAGCACCATCGCTGATTTACACAATTTACAGTTCACCGTTACACATACACAAGGATTGTCAGTCTTTGCTAGTTGTATCCTGGGAAGAGAATGCAAACAGCCTCACTGTGACTAAACCTTCTAATGACACACTAAGTCTTCACAGGCTTCTTCAACTACTAACTTCCCATGGCTATCTCTGCTGACAATTGACTCAGTTCTCAATCTTGTAGTGTCTGTTGTACTTTGTTGTATTCCAATTCTCTAATCTTTCTAACTACAAACAGACTCTTATTATATAGCCTTGGGTCAGATCCATGGAAAACAATGTCTTCTCTTGTCGAATATTGTTGTGTTACCTAGAAACAAGTTGTAGCATGGGCCACAGAGAACTCAGCTCCTCTTGTTTTATGTTTGCCGGAGTAGGTATAATAAGCCATTTCCTAGCAATGGGTATATGCATCATAGTATAATTCATTTTATGGTAGTAGATGTTATTCGAAGGTAGTTACGCTTGCACAGTGAGTAGTGCCTCTTCCTAATGTAATAAATTATCTAGTAGTATGAGTTAGCTGAAGATATATCAACTCATACTTGAGTATCATTAACAGGGGCCCTATCTTTTAGAGATGCTGGTTGTAGCATGTACTGAGTTGACTCACATAGCTCATATCACTTACTTACTCATGGAGCTGAGCCCTTCTGGAGGAGCCGCCAATTCTGCAGCTACTCAAGAATTTCCCAGCATTTTATGGAACCCGAAGGTTCATCACCATGTTCACAAGAGTCCTCCACTGGTCCCTATCCTGAGCCAGATCTATGCAATCCATACCATCCCAGCCTATCTCTCTAAGATCCATTCTAATATTGTCCACCCACCTATACCTTGGTCTTCCCTGTGGTCTCTTTCCTTTTGGCTTTCCCACCAATATCCTGTACACATTCGTCTCCCCCATTCATGCTACATGACCTGCCCACCTCATCCTCCTTGACTTGATCATTCTATTTATGTAGCTCATATTACTGAATCATTTATTACACAGTGAAAGAGTTAAGAGATTCACTTTTCACTCGTGTCTGTACAGTGGTAGTACATTTTTAACACAATCACTGAGAAAATAACAGAAAATGTAGGACAGTGGAGCACTGACTGTGGTGAACAGCAAACTGTATTCATGGGGTGGAGGGAGTGTGAGATTGGGATAGAATGGTGCATATACAATAAATGGGAACAATTTTCTGTTGGGAAATTTTTAGTACATAGATGTGATTTTCACAGGTGTGGGGAATTTTTACATACGCTTCCTCAAAATTTGGCCCTGTATATATGGGGAAATGGATAATAAAGTCCCATGTAATGGGGCCCCACTGTACATCATTCAGTACTCAGAATTAGTCTGAAAAGTCATCAGTGCACATGTAATTTGTAGTGTTTGTTGCTGTAAGATATGTATGAGAGAATTGTCCATTTCCTGAAGACACATTTTTGCAAACATAACAGCAGATTGTTCCTAGTCCTGGCAAGTGTCGGATATTTTTCTGTAATTTGAATCTGATTAACTAGTAACTCATTAATATCTGTTGTATGTAAGAGTGTTCTGGGATTGAAGTAAATAGCTTTATTCAAAAGTATGTCTTCCTCTCTGTCATTCTTGGTTGAAGTCATCACATATACAGATTGTAATGGAAAGGTGCAAAGATACTTTTGGCATGAGTTCCACATACCAAAGATAAAATGGTAAAGTTGTCTGTGTGCTTAACTAATTAACATGTGAGAATGCAGAGTTAGTTCTGTAGTTGAGCTGAGTGTTCAGCTGTGGAGTGTTAACCAATTTAGATTTGTTCCCAGGTAAGAGACAGTGAAAACTTTGCAGAAGAATAGCCATTGTTGAGACCCGTTACCAAGCAGCGACTTGCGAAAGCAGACGTAGAAGTCTTAGTGTGGAGTGATTTGTAGTTATGATCTGAGTGGTCAATAAATCTGATCATCCAATCCAGAACCCGATATTATTGGTCATGGAGCCATAAACATGTGATAATACAGTCAACTCTTGATTATCCGGGGGCGGATTAACCGGTTTGTGGCTTAACCGGGGCTACTGAGGCTTTTTTGAGGCTTATATGTTGTTTAATGTTCATTCACTTTTGTTTCACATGGTGAGTTGTAACACTATTTTCACACTAGTGTGAACTGAGCTCTGCATTCTTTGGTCCCGTTATGCTAACACAATGTTCTAGGGTAGGGGTGAAGGAATGCATGGATTTGTGGAAAGTTTCAAGGACAGATACATCGCCCCAGTTAGTATCTTTGTATCGATCTTCAAGTGCATCAGCAAAATGTCAGGATGTAAAAGGAAGCGTGTTGTGTTAAGTATTCAACAGAAACTTGAAATTAACAATCAGTTGGGAAAAAGAGGTATAGTTAAACAATTAGCAATACAATACAGTATTAGAGAAACAACTGTTCGAGATTTGAAAAAACAAAAGTGAGAATGAGGAAGAGGTGGACAGTGCTGCTCTTAATCATTTGGAATCCTTACTAGACTGTCTTTAGAGTGAAGAGAACAGTTTATTAAGTGACAAGCTAATATTACGCAGGCTTCGTACGGATATCCGTAAAGAGGAAAATGCCGCGAAAAAGCAAACAACAATATTAAATTTTTTAAGTGTTAAGTGTTGGATGTTGTTGAACACTGTGATTGAAATAACTAATTCATACTTCAGTGTAATGTAAAAAAAGTATTAAATAGGCCATGAGATGACATAAAAATGAGGTTGAATAAATTTAAATACAGGTAGGCCTATAGTATTATGAAGGTACAGTATTACAGTACTACTTTTAATAAAATTTGTCTTAACTGGGTTTTCGATTAATCGTGATTTCCATCCCCACCATTATCCCGGATAATCGAGAGTTGAGTGTATTTATTCCTGGATCTTGTTACTGTAATTATATATCCTAAGCAATTAAAGCAATTTACTTCTTCAATTATATGATTTGTTGTCACATTCATCTTTCTATTAATAGCCATCATTTTTGTCTTGTTTACTGAAATGTTCAAATCATACTTTATATTTATGTTGTTAGTGGATATGCTGCTTTTTGCATTTCACCTTCTGTACTTGTCACATCACTCTCTTGTTCACAAATAAGACTGTATTTAAAATTAAGCCCTTCATTAAAATATTGTAGAATGTAGACCCATTACTAGGTAAAGGCCCATACACACAGCAGAGGAACACGTCACATCTGTGGTGACATCATGCAATAGAGGAGGCATTGCAAGTGATGTTCTCTGTGGGTTGCTCTGAGGCTATATTATTTGACTGACCGAGTTCAGCTCAGTGAGTGCAGTTGGGTACAGTGGAGTGAAGCGAGTTGGTTGGTGAGCAGTCAGTCAGGGGACTGCTGCTGTTAGAAGCTGGTAGCTGAGGCAGGAGGATATATCATAAACCCAGAGTAAGGGAAACATCTATCGTTGCAAGCTGTTATCAGGCAATGACTGATGAAGAAACAGCAGGCTAAAAAGACTTGGTGCATGCTGTAATGAATTACAGAGTGCGAATTAGCGATAGCGCTATAGTTACTTTTAGTTACAGTCTGCAAGTGTTCGGTAAACCCAATTACCTATCCAGACGCCATCTATAGTCACTCTACATGTGACAATATTTTATTTGATCACCTGCAACCATTCTTTAAAGCTTCTGTCAATGTAGTGTTAAACAATACCAGTGATAATGGCCAGCCTTGTTGAACCAGATAATTCAATGCATAACGCCTATAGCCACGATATACAGTGCTGTCCTATGTAAGTGGAATCTGAATTCTCTGATGTATATGGCAGCTATATAATCTTATGTCAATGGTTAATTTACCCACAAGAACTAAGAATTACTTTAATAATAAGAAGACAGCTCCAAGAAAGATATTTCTATTGAATCAGTGATAAATGGGCTGACTGATCATAGTGCTGTTTCTAGACATAAAAAACAGAGAACTCTTTTCAAATTATAATTATAGGAAAGCAAGCAGAGTTACACATAATGATACTGATCAAGAATTTATGTCACATCTAAGTAATGAAAATTGAGAGTCACAGCAGGGGCATTTGAACATTGGTCAGCTCCACCCTGATGCCATCTAAACACCCTGACAGATAGAGCTTAAAATATGGAATAAAATATTGCTTTACAATATTGTAAAATGGCTTTAAGAATATTTTAGAACATTGTATATATAGCTGCGTTGAGTTTGAATAAAAATATGTTTTACACTTTGCTGTGGTTTCATATTTTCTAATGTGTTATTTTGGCTTTTGGGGCTTAGTTGCATTGTGTGTTAGTTCCATTTTGACACACATGGAAGTTACCATCATTAGTATGAATGAAATGGAAGGACGATTTGGCCCAATGTATAGGTCTCACAGTGGGAGAAAAGGTGAGGCTGTGGTGTTATCCAGTGAGAGTAGGCTACAGCCTGATGTGTAAGTCTCACAGTCCCTTCCTTACAGCATGGTGCTATCCACTGAAAAATATCCTGTTCTTCTGATCTTCATTCTGAAAGCCTCTTCCTTCCACTGCTTGTGTACCACTGGCCCATCCTTTTGCATTTCTGCCACCTTCACTTCAGCAGACGAGTCACCTCCACATTTAGTATGCCATTTTGTCAAAAGGTATCTCTATACAGAAAATACTTCTGTTTGAGATGTATCATTTATAGCATATCTATCCTTTAGTCTTGTGTGCCACACAGTAGTGTAGTTGGCTGAGGCACTATGCTACAAGCCAGAAGGCTGTGAGTTCAAGTCCTGATGAGGTCATTGCAGGGACGGTGCCCCACCTGATTTTGTTGTAGTATTGAATTTTCATATTCATTCATATTTTATTCTGTTTACTGAGATCAAATTTGTATCAAAATATTAATATTTCTCGTTATCATGATGTAATTAAGGAGACACGAAAATGCAATAGTGATGTCTTGGCCATATCACAGCTTATTTGTACGGTTACAATAACAGGGGGAGCTCGTCTCTAGCCCTTACTGTGTGTATCGTTAGCAGCCTTAAGTTCAGTGAATCTTTCAGGGATTCTAAGTATCACATGCGTCTTGAAATGTCACGCTTGGGGCTAGTTTTGACAAGCCCGCAATAAAAAAAGAACACTATACAAAAGGCTGAAAGGGACAGGTGGAGTGTGGATATTATTGTGAACTTACCTCTATTCTTCCAGCCTTAAGTAACACATTCTTTGGAAGAACAGACAGAGGGTAGGTTTTCAGATTCCATCTTTCAGTTGTGTTTTGAGCAGTGGAGAAGATACAAATTCGGGAATAAAGTAATTTTAGCATAGGCCTAAGTTAAAGTTGTTTTTTAAGTGTAATTTCCAAATTAGGTTTTAGGTTAATACTGTATTCATATTAGAATTAGTGATTAATATGAATAGGGTGGACGTCCTTCTGAAATCACTGTTCTCAACTTTGAGTTTAGAAGAGAAATTACAAGTAAAAACTCTTGGCGCGCATCAACCAACAGATTTCAAACTTGATCAGAACTGAAAGACTAAGAAAAGAAATCAATTTTTTGTTTTGTGTGTTTATTGTTTGGTGGGGAAACGAGTTGGACTGTGACAGGTATAACTGACCTTAAACACAAACCACTCCGTCCAATGTGACATATAAGTTTTTACTAGGTTAAAACTTATCTCCCTTACATGTTTCGGTCCTTACGGGCCATCTTCAGAGGGAACATCATTACAAACAACAGATTATAAAAGAATTTTATCTCATTTTAATTAAAGGACTGCAGCATGTGGTTTTTAAAATGAATTGGAACAGCGAAACAGTGTAGCAGTTTTAACAAGGTCTTGATTGAATATCTGTAATAAAACACCTGAAGATGGCCTTTTGAGGCTGAAACATGTAGTGTTAAGTGTTAAAGAATATACTGAAGTGTAAAACAAGTGTTGCAATGTAGACGGATATAGACAAATCGACGCTAATAAAATTTTGAATTTCATTTATATTTCATCTAATGCTCCACATTCGGCAACGCCGCAGGCAGCAAGACAGGAGTGTTTGCAGCAATTCTTTCCTGTATCTCTAGGAGGAGGGAAACAAATGTCAGCAACTTTTGCAATCAGATTACCTCCAAATCTACCCAGGTATGTGATGTGCCACATTTAGTTTTCACCATTAAATTTCTGTGCAATTTATAACTATTAATTCAGGGCCCCCTCCAAGTGAGACTTTTATTACTGTCGGATTGCACTTGCATAAGCAACTAATAACTAAAAATGTCACATGGTTGCACAAACAGTACAAACATATTATATAGCATGTATATATTATGACACAATGGCTGAAAGCCAGAATAGTGGAATAACTAGAAGTGGCCATTGTTAGACAATGGCCTAGGTATTCCCATTGTTAGAAACCATTACCAATGCAATTTAAGACTACTTAATAATAGGAGGTCCCAATGGTCCTCATTATATAGCCTCGGTGTGGACCACCCAGAAAACACTCCTTCCAACAGTTGCATCTTTATTCGTTCCACAGAAACGTGTTTACCATGCCATTGCCTAGCAATGGTCACCTTTTCTTCTTCCACTATTCTGGCTTTCAGCTGCCATGTCATAGTATGCTTCCTTCTCTTTGTGGAAGGGAATTAATGGTAACTGTTTATTCCATCTCTTAAAATATCTTTGGGGCTACATTCATTTTTACAATAACCACACAACAGCGACATTGCTTGCAGATGCATTACCACCAGCAGTCCTGTATAAGGCACAGAAATGATAGTGGTTAATTTCAGATTAAGAAATATAAGAATTTTCTGAAACAGTTATCAGGAGCTTATTAATTCACAAATGAAATTACACTGAATAAAGGCATTACAAAAAGTGGGGAAGAAAAAAGAAACTACAGCTAGATCAAAATTATTGACATCTTAGATGTCAACATGCTGCATGCACAATACTGTTTAATGAGTTTATAATCACTCATGATTTCTAACTACAAATGACATTGCACTAGATGGAAAATATTTTAGATATCTGAATCAGGTATGTGCAAGTCCTGAATTACTGAGACTGAATTGAGAAAAATTCTTAATTTTGATTTGAATCATGAATTTTCAGTCTCAGACTTCAAGAAATTCCAGAAGACTGTTTATGTTCTGCATAACAGCACACAAACTATTAAACAATGTTATCAGAATCATAATGACTGGCAGCACACTATGAAGTATGTCTCTCTTCCGTTTCTTCCGTCCATGGTGAGAAAGGACATGGTTCTAAAATTGATTTCTTTATATACAAGGATGTATGGAAAACTGTCACTATGAAGAGATGCCAAACAGGATAAGTACACATTAATGCACTGTGAAAAAGTGGTTAGTATTATGATCTGTGATTACAGTGAAACAATTTGTCTGGTATAGAGAAATCTCAGTCTCATCTGAATTCTCAAAATGTTTCCACATGCTCATCTGGATTTCATCTCAAACTGAAAAGTAATTCTCACACCTCCCAAATTTAAACATATTACAAATTACCTTCAGCTCTGTTTCTCTTTCATTTCTGATGATCGTGTCAACTTAGATTTGAACCATCTAATAACATAGTTCTGTTCCTTATTCTTCAGTCTTAACCTGGAAAGAAGCAAGTATGCTTTCAGACACTGCTTAGTTTTTCACACAATTATCAGAATTCAACCTTGCATACAGGCAGAACAAAATACAATGCAACTCTGACTTTACACTTTTGAAGAGAACACCAAAAATAAATAAAAGTCGAAGAAAGTGTAAAATAGGGAATTGAAAAATGATGTAATATAAACAATGCTTGAATGATACCCAACTTTAAAAGTTGGCTGGCAGAAATACAAGTATAACAGTAAATGTAAAAATGTGTTTGTGTCTACAGTCAGCAAAAGATTAATCATGCAAGGCTGTAAAACTTTCATGCATAAAGATACTGTCACAAGTAGGGGAGTACACATGATGAAATGATGGGTTCTAATTTGGATGATTGGATTTATTAGCAACTTGGTTACACACTCTTTCAATTACACTTAAATTAAAGGCAATACAGCGCTATCGCTGAGTTACACACATTCCAGTTCACTGTTCTGCACACACTAGGATTCTCAGTCTCTACTAGTCTCCTAGCAAAGGATCTCAGCACAGAAACTAGCACTCAAATCACTACATGCATTACACCTAAGATCTTCCAATTACACTTCCAGTATCACTGCGCTGTCGCACATATGAAGCCTTGGAAGCACACAGTAAGTCTTCACTGGATGACTTCTCAGCTATCACTCATTATCAGTGATTACCACACATAAAATCTTCTAATCACACTTTAGATCCTCGCAAGCTGACCTCAAGTATTTTTCTGTACCCCATTCACGTGCTTATCTTGTAACGTGTAACTACTCCGACCGACTTCTTAGGAATTCCATTTCTCCTATAAACTCTCAAATGGACAAGTGGAAACACAGCTCACTTCACTGTTGCATGATGTCACAGCCTACAGCAGAAGGGCGTTTAGCAAGCGTTGTGTAGCAATGGGCTCGGTGGGGGTGTATGTGACATCACTTCCGAAAACACAAGAGGTAATGTGACCCCTACTCACTGTTCCACAATCCAAGCATTCACAGAGCTGTCACCTAGCAATGTGCTGATACAATCTGCAACTCTCCAATTGCGTGCATGCCCCAAGGCCTCTGTGGCTCAACAGTTCCTGCATAGAGCAAATGTGCTGCAATACGCCTAACTTACTAAGAGACACCCTGAACATGAGAAGAACAGTGTTGACGTTTCTTTGGATTTTCCAAACCCAGACACTGTAAACGTAACACAGATCATACTTCCACTGACAGGAACTGAGAAACGACATGCAAATTCAAGAAAAACATAAGTTTGAGAAAATATGAAATAGGATAAAATTTACTGTTGTTCTCATATGATCTGGTCAGAACCAAGAGAAAAAGTGTGTAAAATGAGGAAAAACATAAAATCCAAGGTGCAAATTTAAAGTTTTGTTGCACTTCACTACTCGCAGGCATACATGGAGCGACATGATGTTTATATTCTTCTTGCCGATATCTGAATGCATTTCAACAAAACTTGACCAGTGGAATTACAGTAATCTGAAATCCACCCACAGAGATTGTGAAATTTCTGATGTCTAGTAAAATCAGATTACGAACTTCACCTTGTGAAAAACATGCTTCAGTGTCACATCATCAACCGTAAATCTCATGAGGTCAGCCAAGATTGAAACCAATGCTCTGCAGCAAGTATTGTAAATACCATATTTACAAAACTAGTAAAAAAGATTTACATATGAATGACAGCAACATCGACACACACAACCCTATATTTGAAATACTATACAAAATTACACAACATAACACTATACCCTCCCCCCACTCCTCACAACCAGGGCATATAAATACAGGAACAAACACACCACATCTGCACTAGTAAAGACACCACATGCTGTGGAGGAAACACACAAACCAGGGGCATGTGAGTACAAAGTAAACGAACATAAATCTAGGGATCTTATAAATTACAGATGGCAGTCATAGCTGAAAAGTAGGCTACAAACATGAGGGGCAAGCTGCCAAGACAAAAAACCCTGGACAGACATACATTTAGAAAAATGGATGACACCCCGTGTGAGGTGAAATAATATGCACCAAAATAACGTGGTTATAATAGGAACTTTAAAGGATTTTATCTGGTTTTACCTGAAAAGAGGACTACAGTGTGTGATTTTAACACAAACTAAGACAGTGTAGCAGTTTTAACACAATTTAATAAAATATTTGTAACATATCAAGACACCTGAAGATGGCCGTTTGGGGCCGAAACATGTAGTGTCAAGGCGTATAATGTTAAACTAAAAACTGAGTGGTGAATGGAAGAGTGTTGCAATATTGACGGAAGATAAATATTGGACGTTAAGTTGAACAATTGCAACGGGATGCTGAAATACAGAATTGGAATTATTGGCCTGTACTTCTTTGAAGATGAGTGAGAAAGGGCTGTAATTCTGACTGGACCACGTTGTGTTCATATGTTATAGAGCTTCTTAGCTCCTGCACTTGCTCGCCTTCCATTCAAGGAAGAGACGTTCTTCCAGCAAGATGGGGCTACGTGCCACACACTGCATGAGCTTCCATGGCAGTTGTGAACAACCTGTTTCCTAACCATATTATCTCCAGATATGGGTACACCATATGGCCAGCCAGGTCACCCAATCTTTCCACATGTGATTCTTTCTCTGGGGGTATCTGAAATCCCAAGTTTTCAAAGCTGCAGCACCCCACACAGTTCAGGAGTTGGAACATCAAATTCAGGAAGAAGTTGAACGAATTCCCGTAGAGATGTTGCAAAGAGTAATGAGTGACTTTAGGAAGAGATTTTTTTAATGCTAGTGGGGTGGGACTAAGTCCCTTGTACTGCGGCCACTTCTGGCCTATTGTACCAGCCCCAGATGATAGGTGAGGGTGATTGTGGAGCAATTGGTGGAATGAAGATTGGAAGGGGAAACCGAAGTACTTGGAGAAAACCTTCCCCAGCACCACTTCGCCCACCACAAATCCCACTTGGCCAGACCCGGGATCGAACCCGGGCCGCCGCAGTGGGAACCAGTAGATGCTTACTGACACTCTGGAGGAATGTGCTGCCTGCATCTTCAGGGTTGGAAATGGAGACATCACATTTCTCCATAACATCAGTAACATCTATCACAACACATGTTGTCACATCACAGGAAACAATTATCTTCGGTGGGTCTTGTTTGAATATTGTGGTGTTACAAACCTGTTGCTAGGCAAAGACCTCGAAACAAACAACATAACAAATGTAGCGTGTACAGCCATTGCTATGCAATAGACAAATAAACAGCATGACTTCACTAGTATAAATCGTATAAATTGACTGTTTTCCAAACCAGCTGGGATGGCCTACTAAAGTGAATGCAATCAATATATTGTTGATCACAAATATTATATTCTTGGACATTATCCTACATGAAATGAGAAAACGGAAGACTAATTGGATTGGTCATGTTTTACGCAGAAACTGCCTTCTAAAAGAAGTTCTTGAAGGAAAGATAGAGGAGCGGATAGAAGTGACAAGAAGACGAGGAAGAAGATGTAAGAAGATGCTGGATGGCCTTGGGGACAGAAGAGGATACTGTCACTTGAAGGAGAAAGCTCTAGATCGCACTAAGTGGAGGAATTGTTTTGGAAGAGACTGTGGACCTGTCGTTTTGACAGATTACTGATGATGTTGATGATCAATTGTCTTGCCTATTTTATAAAAACCGCCCTGTTTCTTTTTGAAAACACAACATTTTGGAGTCTGGATTCTGTCCCCGTCCTCAGGTAAAACCTCTAGGAAGAGACTTACTGAGTGCCTACAGCGGAATGGTCATCTGTTGGATGCTATTTTTGGGAAACAGACCTCTGTTTTCAGTGGGATAATCGAGAAAAATCGTATGCTTTTATGTTTACACTGTATTCATATCTGGTGAAACCAAATAAATGCAATAGGTCACTGTTCATAACGTTTTCCATTGATGCACACTGTATTCAGTTTATAGGGGAATATTTCATCCATCAATGGCTCCAGGGCCCCTTCTTCAGTTTCATAATCTTAAGTGCAAACAATATACATTTATATGTCTTTGATCTTGTTCTTTCTACACTACATGTTTCGGCCTCTATCGGCCATCATCAGGTGTATACTCTTAACGTTGCTGCCACACTGAACCCAGTCTAAAACTTAACATTTAAAAACACAATGTCACGTTCTTCGTATTATCAACATCTACATNCATATAAATGTATATTGTTTGCACTTAGGACGGAGTTTGTATCATTTATCGTGTAGAGTGCAACAGGATGCTTAAATATAATATTCATAATCTTTTTTTACATAGATGGCAGGACTCCTTGGATGAGTGATCAGCCCATTGCAAGGCCGCTACCTACACACAGGACAACATAATCACAGAATAGATGCACACACAGACAGCCATGCCTTAAACCGCATGGCCACTGTGATTGGCATAGAGGAATACGACCTTTGCCCATAAAGTTCCGAGACTAAGTCTGTAAAAAGTAAAAAATTCAACTTATTAACTAATGGTTCCTGTCCTCTTCAAAGTAGTCAACTCCACAGTCAGTACACTGCTGCCACCGTTTCAGCAAGTCCTGGAAGCAGTTGGTGAATGCCTCTTTTGGAATGGCTGTTAGCTGTTGTCACAGCTGCTTGAGTAGCCTCTATATTTTAATGTCACCATCCTTTTAGTGTTTTCTTCAGTTGTGGAAACAGAAAAAATAGCATGGAGAAAGGTCAGGAGAGTATGGGGATTGCTGAAGCACAGTAACATTGTGTTCAGTGAGAAAAGAGCTGTGTGGGGTCTCACATTGTCATGCAACAAAGCCCACTGTCCAGATGCCCATAGGTCAGGGTGATGACATGAAAGTACCTTGCGCAAACACCTGAGTATGGAGATGTAAAATTCTTGGGTGACAGTTTGCCCTTGCAGAACAAATTCGTGATGAACAATACCCCTGGCATAAAAAAAAATCATCATAGTCTTTGTTTCTGATGGCTGCCACCTCACTTTGATGCTGGAGAACCCGTTGACCGTTATTCAGCATTTTGCCTCTTCATCTGAGGGTCACAGTGGAAACACCATGATTCATCCTCGGCAATTACACTACTGACAAACATGGAATCATTCTGTGCCTTGTGTAACAAATCGGCACAAACTGAAGCTCACACCTCTTTTGATCCTGAGTGTGTGTGTGTGTGGGACTAGCCTGGCACTGAGTTTTCGTTTACCCAAGTCCTCTCACAGAATTTGGTGGCATATCGACGTATTGATACTCAGGGCATTAGCCAACACGTGCACTGTAACAGTACGGTCTTCCCGTACCATGTCTCTGTTCCGGGAACTCGAAGACCGGCCTGATCTTGTGCCCTTATCCACCAACACCCTGCCCAACATGAATCGCCTGTGCCACTCAAACACTTGCACCCAAGATAAAGCTTCATCGCTGTAGGCATCACGCAGAAGCTGCAATGTCTCTGATGTGAACCATATTGTCTCCGTTCCGGGAACTTGCAGACCAGCCTGATCTTGTGCCATCCTCCACCAACACCCTGCCCAACAGGAATCGCCTGAGCCAATCAAACACTCGCGCCAGAGACAAAGCTTCATTGCTGCAGGCATCACACAGAAGCTGCAATGTCTCTGTGACTGTCTTGCCCAGCTTCACACAAAATTTGATGTTAACTCACTGTTCAAATTGAACGTTCACTCTTCTCAGAGCACAAATCTGCAACTGACAATGACACGAGTTTTCCGCTAGGCCCTGCCACCTAGCGGAGGTCAAGTGAACTAACGTCAATAACACAGGCGAGCCGTAATATGCCCCGTATTTAGAACACCTTTTCTTGGAGTTGCCATCATTTGCCTAAGCCAATACATTAAATCAGTCCGGAACTTTATGGACAAAGGTTGTATTACTAACACATAAACAGCATCCAGTTATCAGTTCATTAATGCTGAAAGTTTATATCAATTCGCCTACCTTTTGGTGGTGATATTGTGAAGAGGTCCAAATGCCAGAGCAATCACAGTACAGGTAAGACAAATGACATTGTATGGCATGCTAAAGTCTGGTGTGGGCATTGTAATAATCAGCGTTTCTGTCCTGAGCTGAACCAAATAACCATCTCGTGACGCATTGAAACTGTAACCCAACACAAACAGAAATGAAGAACTCAACTTTTTTGTTAAATTACAGGAAAGTCATTAAGTGAGGCCCATACAGTCTCCTATCCAGTGGGTACTGTGGGAGCTTTACTCAGAGGTAAATCCAATGAGACATGAACCTAATTACTCACCTCCATCCACTGCCATGTTTAAGAATATGTGGAGCTATACTTCCACTCCCTCATACATCCTTAGGGCATGATGCTTAATTAATTAAGTATATGGACAACTTTGCCGGTCATGGTAGCCGAGCGGTCTAAGGCATGCACTGTCTTCGCTCGCTCGGAAGCCGGGATCGTGGGTTCAAATCCCACTCAGGGCATGGATGTTCGTGTGCGTTTTTCTGTGTTTGTCTACAGGTAGAGGCCTTGCGATGAGCTGATCACTCACCCAAGGAGTCCTACCGTATGTGTAAGATCTAGAAAAAACGAAGTGAACGGAGTTCATGGAGGTAGGCCTAGGCCCACTGGGGCTGTAGTGCCAAGGAATTATATGGACGTTATTTTTACTGCAAATTAGTGAAAATAAGGTAGGTAATTTTAACCTTCCGGAAGACAGTATCAATGCCTCAACTCCACAGCCAGTTCCACCAACCCTTTCCATGCTAATTTAGTTTGTTTAATTTTGAATAAAGAAGTACCTATGTCTGTAATCTAACCCATTGTAACCAAATCTAACTTATCAACTGACATATATTCTGTACCCCACAAAAAGGGTTAAGCTACACTCTTACATGTAAAGACACGTTACACCTAGGCTTAAGTAACATGCCTTGAAAGTGCGTGGAGGTGCAGTGGAACCCATTTAATGTTTCACGATTAACCAGTCAAGTGGTTATGATGCCTATAGACATCATGCGGTACTGTGTATCATAATGGCCATGATGTCTACAGACGTCACACATGTTTCTAACTACTCCGTTGCAGACAAAATGCCAGTCACCAATGGAAACTGGTACATTGTACTTGCAAGATGTTGTAGCTACTTCAGTGTGACGGAAAGTTGTTGATTGCTTGATAGCTGTCCTGAGTTCAAGTTCTTCCGACTAAACATTATGGCAGGTCCTAGCAAGAAGATGCATGTAAGTGATGAGGTGTTTTACGAACTGTTACAAGAGGATGAATACAGTGGTATTTCAGAGAGTGATTATAGTAGTAATAGTGAAATAAATGTGAAAATTTCGTTATGTGGGGAACAAAGTGTCAGCTCTGATGAAGCAGAAAATGTCAGCAATAACAGTAGCATGCAACCTGATGTATGGACAAATTCAGGTTCTGATAGACAACAGTTTCCATTTACTGGCAAGCCTGGCACAAATATTGATTTAGAAGACCCCAGCGACCCCCTGGAATATTCTGAGTTGCTCTGTATGCCAGACATTATAGAAGTAATAGCCCAGAAATTTTTAGGAAACACATCTAATCTAAATCTAAGATCTAGGACCCATTGCTAGGCAGGTTTTGAAAACTACATAATTATAAAATATTCACAGTATCTGTCACTTGAGTTGCAGCAATGTTTCTGGTGATATGATGTTTTAGTGATGACTTCATAGTCTGTAAAAGATAACAATCTTCCAGTGATGTCTGGAAGAACAGTTCAGTTCAGTTCAGAACAGTGCAAAGGAAGTACAACTTTTAAGTCCACACCACAATAAGAAACTCTGTTTATCACTGAGACATACACAGTGTTGCTAGACAGATTTGTCAGGCGACTATTATGATCGCGTTTAGGCACAATAGATCACTGTGGTTGTGGTGCAAGGGCCAAGAAGGCCCACCCCCCATAAGAGGGTCATACTGAAAGTCATGAGTAAAAATTTTTTGTAAAGTAACTTGCTTTATTATTGACAAACCAAATACACCACCTCAATCTACACATCTTTCTTTATTTTTTCATATAATCGCCACTTCTTTGTACACATTTCTCCCAGCGTTCTGGGAGTTTGAAAATTCCCCTTCTGTAAAATTCCGTTCCAGCCATCCGAAGACACTGACACACTGCTTTCTGAATTGCCTCCCTTGTCTCAAAACGCTGTCCACGCAGCTGATCCTTCACAAATCTGAAAATATGGTAGTCAGATGGTGCCAGATCAGGGCTATAGGAGGGGTGTGGAAGAACTTCCCACCCCATCTTTGCAATTGCTTCCAATGTGAAGCGAGCGGCGTGGGAGCGAGCGCTGTCATGCAGGATGATGATGTTTCGTCCCGGACGTTTATCATGCAATGCACGACAGAGCTTGTGCAGCATCTGGACATAATGAGCTGCATTGATGGTTTGCCCAGGTTCCAGGAATTCGGCCAGAATAAACCCCTCTGCATCCCAGAAGACTGTGCCCATCACCTTTGCAGCTGATGGCACTGTCTTTGCCTTCTTTCTTGATGGAGAATGCAAATGGTGCCATTCCATACTCTGCCGTTTCGTTTCAGGCTCGAAATGGTGAAACCAGCTTTTGTCACCTGTCACAATACAGAGCAAAAAATCATCGCCCTCATGTCGATATCTCTGCAACAGTTCTGAGGTGATGGCTTTTCGCTGACCTTTGTGGTCTTCGGTCAATAACCGCGGGACCCGACGACCACAAACTTTCATATAGCCCAAGCTTTCAATCCTCTCCTGTACTGCACTGTGCCCTATTCCAAGTTTTTGGGCTATTGTGTCCACAGTCACACACCTGTCATCTTGAATGATCTCATCCACTCTTTCCTTGTTGCGTTCAGTTGAGGCTCTTCGAGGACGACCGCTCTGAGGCTCATCTTCAATGCTGGTGTTCCCATCTTTAACAAATTCAGGACCAGAGGGGCCAATTGGCCCTCTATGTTCCTATAGCGTTGTGGACTGGGCGGGCCAATTGGCCCTTTTCTGACGCGCTATGTTGCAACCGACTGTGTGGCCACGTTGCATCATAACTGCTGCTTAGTTGACCTCGGGAATGTTTGCTAGCTTAGCCAGTAACATGATCACGCTCATTTCCTGTCACACCCTAAAGAAAAACAACTGGTCTGCAATGTGTTAAACTGTTTCACCCATCTTAGAACACTGCTCGCACCCATGCACGCACTTCCATAAGCACGATGAAGTCTTTGGTGAATTTCTGCAGCAAGGATTTCCTCTTTCACAAGAAATTTGATGACAGCATGCTGGTGAAACGACATATCGTTGTCGCCCATTTTGTTAGGAGTGATACTGGTCATGTGATGCAAGCTATTGACATCACAAGACACTCAAGGTTAACACAACAGCTGGTTCCACCTATCACCATACTCTCTTTCATCTGCTGTTCCCAGGTTGCATGCAAAAAAAGTTGCTCATGACTTTTGGTATGACCTACGTACATACATTCATTCATTCATTCATTCATTCATTCATGATCACGTTTCACTTCTAAACACCAGGCGCCAGTCAACTTGCATACTGAATGTGCATGACTCAGGCATATGTGTGAGATCATGTAGTCTGAATGGAAATCAAGGTCAGTTGCAGACTTTTTGAGAACAGAACCAAAAGTACTAAAAAATATATGCAAACTTAAATGCAATGGCTATAGAAATGAAAACATAGGTAAGTGAAGTCTGATAACTGGTCCTTCAGAGGCTTTTTGCTCCATATTTCTATATTGACACATGATTGAGATATTGCATTTTAAAAAGGGACAAAAATTATAAAATTAAACACCACAGTGACTAATTTAAATGTCTGGGGGAATTTAATGTGCCACCATGGGAGACATAGGAACATAGAAAAGAAGAGCCTGGCTGGTTAAAAGTCTTCATTTAACACTCAATTTCATCAATTCTAGGTGAAGAACCTAAGTGTTAAAGTTTCTCAATTTAAGACTCCCCTCGGTTCACTTTCTGTATCCACAGCTCTCCAAAGAACCCTTAATTGCTGTATCACTACGTGGAAGTATATGCTAAGACATAAGTTCTGAGATTTTCATGGCAGTGACTGTTCATATTCTAGTCTTTTAGGTTGAGACACCATGTAGCCTTGTATACAGATACTGATGTTTCACAAGGATATGTTTCCTGCATGCCAGGCATTTCCTGAACCTACACATTTTAGTTGTGAAGACAGGGGCTGTATGTTTCTCTGAAAGATCAGTATTACCCTGTAAGACTACACACAGTGTTACAACCCTGAAATCCAGAATATGAATGCTCAAAATATCCTTGACCTTGGCACCATTTAAGAGAAGAGTGATCAGTTTCACATACCAGTCACTTTATGTGAGGACAGACCTACTTGGATGTGTTCAACAAAGGCCAGAAGGAAAAAGGGGAACTGATAGACCTAAACTGAGATGGGAGATAGCGCGGACCAGGATATCTAGCTGCTAGGACAGAGGAACTGGAGAAGCCTGGTATTAAATGGGGAAGCGTGAAAAAAGTTCTTGAAGAAGGCCAGGGCCCACATAGGGCTGTGGAGGTCAATGATAATAGTACAGAAACTCTTCTGGGCATGGTGGTATACAAATCCTATAGAATGTCATACCCTGGCTATCACATCATCCTTTGGATAAGCTTCTACAGGTTATTTTGTCCTTCAGAACATGTTTTACCTCCTACCTGCATCAATTCACTTGGAATTTGATCAATACATGGAAGTTCATACTTTCTCAGGTTTTCAAATAATTTTCTTGCCTATTTGAAAATACTCTAAGAACATTATGATTATCATCTTTTACAAAGTTATTTCTAGGTAACTAATTCATGACATATGTCTACAAACACAAACTACCATTACAAATTATTTTCAAGAACACTATTTTGTGGAACGTGATGCTATACAGACCGGCAGAATTTACCAATGTTTTGACTCTGAGGACAGAGGGAAACATCCGAAACATCAGTAAACTTCTACCAGACTAAATGACGTTACATTCCAGGCAACAATTTTCTTCATACTCACTGAAACAAGAAACCTGAATTCATATAATGGATTTTCATTAAGCTTGGAATCACAAATCCTTATCAAAATTTAACAGAGTATATGACAGTTTCTTATGAAGACCTATTAAATTTGTTTTCAAATATATTTGAATAAAGAGTGCCTACAATAAAAATGTCACAGATAAAACACTTATCTGTGAATGTGAATCATATTCTCTTACATACAGTTTCATTACATTGTACATAATTGTTATCAAAGATTAAAAGTTACTGAGTAAAAACTTGACATTTCAGAGCACATATCACTTCCATCTTCTGGGTCAAAAGAAAGCCAAGAAAGAAGCATGCAGTTTGGAGAAAACCTGATGTTTTGAAGGATCACACTGCCTCCATCCTCAAGGGTGAAGAGCAAACCATGCAAGAAACTAGCAGCAGCAGCTGCGGAAACATCTGGCTTTCTCTGAGATACATAGTTCTGAGCCATGTATTGGCTCCGGTATGACCTCATGGGCTTCCAGCCCCTTGATGGAGGTTCTTAAACTTATCCCCCACCCCCTCCCCATGTGGGACTGGGTCACGTGGTGTTGCCCTCTCCCCTCCTTTCTACCCCTGGGAGCCTTGCTTGGAAGTTAATTCGAGTTCGGAAGACAGTTCTGGTTATGGATCCATAGGGCCTTGCTCGCGGCGCCGAGCCAGCTGGAGTGCTTGTCAAATTCCTGTTCGGCTGGGAGTCCAAAATTGGTTTCGGCAAGTAGCGGGCTGGTTCGCGGCTGGCAAGATCGCCGCGGTCACCTGTCGTTGGGTTTATAGTACGGCAGCGACTCGTACCAGTTTAGTTAAACCTGTGTTTATAATTTATATCATGTATTTGGTTTAGACTCAGCCTGTGGCCCGGCTAGAAGGTAGTAGTTATGTTTTCATGCAACCAAGGCAAATTGTTGCTCCAGTAAATATGGGCCATTCTGCCCGAGTTAGATGCCGCTGTGAGCGAGCATGTAAATGTGCAATTAGTTGAGTTGTTCTGTTTAATTTCTTGGGCTCATTCGCTGTAACAATGATGAATTCTTGTCTTTGGTTATGTGTTAGTTGTGTTTATTAAATTCTGTTATTTTTTATTATATTGATTGCCATCATTTGTAACTAGATTTACCTCGCTGCTAGCTTGGATCCCTTACTCTAACTTAGGGAGTGTGCGAGCACAGCATGGGAGCCATATGACGGAGCACCGTTTCCCCCTCCGATTGAGGAAGGGTAGACGGAGCCGAAAGATGCCAAAGAGTGACGGTGCTGTGGCAGCAGACCGTAAGAGGGTACAGATGGCACAGTTTCAAAACCCTGAAGACTGTACAATTTACTTTACTATGTATGAACCAACTGATCAGTACCTTGAGGTAATAGTGCTGCCATCCTGTGGGAGGCCTGTATAGTTTCTGCCAACCGGCAGAAGAGATGTGATGACAGCTGCACCAATGTAGAAACCATGATTAGCATCAGGAGGATATTCTTGCCACTTCAGGAACACATAATCAAATTCAAGAGATATCTCAGTTATGGATCTTGCAGGAAGTCTCAAAGCAACCTCAAGGTAGTAGGGTCGAGCTCGTGCTTTTCCAGGTATGAACCGCTTCAACACTGAACACAGAAAGACACAAACAGTGGTAACTAGCTAACTCCACAGAGCAGAGCCCTACACAGAAATCTGATATTCATCCAGCTCATCAAGAAAACTCTACCACCTTTAAGGACATCTGAAAGCTCATTAATGTTTCCATAAAAACCCACCAATGACCCTAATATGAACTAATTCAATTGGTCCATATCCTCAAACCCTGCTTCTTTCAGATCCATTTAATGCTTTCCTCACATTGACTGTCTCTTGACTAGTCTTCTCCCTTCACATTTTCCAACTACAATTCTGCTTATTTCTCATCTTTCCTACGTGAGCTATGATGTCCTACTCATCTCTTCATCCTTGAATTCACTACCTTAATATTTGGTGGAACATACAAATTATTAATCTTCTCGTCATGCAATTTTCTTCCATCCTCCTGTTACTTAAATAAGATCTAAAAGTTTGTAACGATAGCACATTAATACAAATACTATGTCCCTGGACATTATCCATTGTCCTCTTTTTATTTAAAAAACAACGTTTCATAGATAGCATAGGTTTTACCTGAAGATGGACACAGAATAAAAACAGGATGATGCATAATGTCCAAAAATATAATATTTGTACTCCTGTCACTTCCTTGTAGGTCAAGTACTCTTCTTACAACTTCATCCTCAACATCTAACACCCTCAGCCCATTTCTCCATTAGCAACAGATATCAAGTTTCACACCAATTTACAATAGCAGGCAATATTGCACTTCAGTGTAGTTTGATGGGAGTTCACCAGTGTTCCAGAAGGACATAGTGCTTTCATCCTCACAGCTGAAGAGTAAACCAAGCAAGAGACCCCGCGAACATGAAGGCAGTATGCTACTCCAGAACACTGGCAAATATCTACTGAAATACGTATATGGCGTTAAAACCCAGAAGATCATACTCTTCGTAGCCACTGGTGCCAGAACGTCCAATCCAGCATGTAATATTAGTTTTGTGTATACAGAGTATTCAGATGAAAGGTATCCAAAATAAAAAATTTATATCTTGGAAACTGTCATACATGTATCCAGTTTATGTCATCAGAAAGGAAAACTCAAGAAGTTTTTTCATGCCTGGCTTATGCACATGTGCCAGCTGGTGACCTCTGATGAGCTCAGTAATGATGTCATGTCTACACCACAGGAACAGCTTCAATGCATGTTGAGGCTAGCAGAGTTTCAATCTCTTACGGCTGTCCAGCATCATTTTTGAACACAATATGGACGTCAACCTCCTATACAGAAAAGCATTCGGTTCTGGAACAACAAACTGAGGACTAGAGGTAGTCTGCTGCGTATAAAATCTCCTGGAAAGGCACGGATCTCTGAAGAAAAAGTCCATCACATTAGAGAGTCATTCCAGTGAAGTCCGAGCAAATCGATTTGTACTGCTTGCTTGCAGTTAAAAATTCCATGTGCGTGATGTGCTATACAAAAGGCTCTGCCTAAGAGTGTACAAGATTCATATGATCCATGCATTAAAACCGAGTGACCAAGTAGCACACACAAACTTCACTGTGAACGTGCTAGGAAGAACTTATGTGTCACCTCAGTTCCTCCACCAAATGTGCTTCTCGGATGAGGCAAGGTTCCATGTCAAAGGAGTTGTAAGCAGGTACATACAACTGCAGGTTTTGGGGCTGTCAAAATCCACATGTCACACATGAGTCGGGGAGAGGCAGCCCGAAAATGAACGCATGGGTCAGCTTAATGCATGACAAGTTTATTGGACAATTTTCTTTTCAGAAGACTGTGACTGGACATTCATACTTGGACATGCTGGAGTTGTATGCGCTGCCCCAACTACCACCTCAAACTATCCTCCAACAAGATGGGGCACCACTATATTTCTGCCACCATGTTAGGAATCACATGGACAGAGTGATGGCTGGAAGATGGATCAGAAGAGGTGGACCTATCGTTTGGCCTCCTAGCTTGCTAGATTTAACCCCACTGGATATTTTATTGTGGGGTTATGTGAAAAACACTGTCTACCAGGTTAAGATCAATGACCTTCAACACCTGAAAGCCCACATAAGGGCCACTGTGGCTACAGTAACACCAAATATACTTCAAGCTATGTGGAATGATTTCAAATATCATCTGGATATTTGTCGTGCCACCAAGGAAGCCCACATTGAAATTTACTGAGAAAGTTATATACTCAGAAAAACTTTGATAGTTTCCCTTTGTAAAGGTGTAAACCAAAAACATGTGCAATAAATGCTTTCTGAGATATAATTATTTTATTTTGGATACCTTTCATCCACACACCCTGTACTGTGACATGTAGACCCATTGCCAAATAACAGCTGTGTGAACACGTGACAGTACAATAGCAACTGCTATGGAATAGCTCTGTGGACATGTTTCCTCAGCAACAAGAGAACACGCAATAATGGAAGAAACTTTTTCTGTGCAGTCCATGCTGGGACTATATAATGAGGACTAGCAGTTCAGTTGAGAGTTGAAGTTGTGAGAAGTGAGACGCTGGTAGCTCAGACAGGTCAGGAACCCAGAGGAAGAGGAACATCCACCACTGAAAGCCACTACCAAACAACGACTAGCAAAGACTCAGAGGACTTTATGTGTGCTGTAGTTAAAGTGCTCTTTGGAGGGTGTAACTAGATAAGACTGTCATAGTTACTTGTAGTTATAAGGATAAGTACCCAATAAATCAGTTACCAATCCAAACCCCGTCTACAGTCACACACAATCATGTGATAATATTAATGTTTTGGCTGTTAGTCAATGCATGACAAGATAAGAAATTCTGAAATGTAGAGCAGCAAGCATCCTTTCCTGTCTTAACACAAACAGCCCCATCATAGTCCATATGCACCACACATAAGCCTCTGGCTTGCCGTGCTGTTCCTATGTAATGTCATTATCAGTTATGGATAGGACTGCCACACAGCGGTGAGACATACCCACGCTTCAGCTGAGACTGTAATCTTGACTTTTGGGAAAAACAAATTTCCATCAATCAAGGCAAGTATATACAGTGGAGACATAACTTACAATGCAAGAGTGGATCAATGATGGGGTTACCTCTGGAAACTGTACCTACAGATTTGAATTTCTGAAGGTTCCACACATTTGCTGCATTTGAAATCATTCAGATTAATGTATTGTAACATGTTTCGTTACTGAAGACGCCGTTCAGATTGTTAATTGGTTTATTTAACAACCTACAAGTATCGGCTACAATTAATTACAACACAGTTGCAGGATTTCACACTTTATAACCCTATTCGCAATAATCTGTTCACTCTATCTTCAGTAGTCTACACGTATTCACAGTACGGGAGCTATATAAGTGTCACTGTATTACACACTCCCAATTATTACTCAGTTATCACGAACTATCACTGATTATCACACATGTCAGGTTCTTCTTTCCACGACGGCTGCTATATTCCAACTCGCTTTGTAGGCTGCTGCCTTGAGAACTCACTTCGGTGGCTGATACACTTTTAACTCGTTCACTGCTGACTGGAGAACTGTCTTCGGCGGCGGCTATACTTTTAACTGCCTTCGGCGGCTGTGTAGTTCCCTTATATAGTTGCAATGCTTGCCTGTTACGTAGCAATGCTGTTGGGAGTTGTTTATAGGTACGTAGCAATTGCGGTGTTGTGTGTTATGTCACCGCGGGGAGAGGGGCGGGGTGTTGACTTGCCTATTACCATAGTAACGACAGCGCTACGATGCCGCCATGTACTGCTGGGGACGGAGGGGTGTCCTCCATTGCGCAACACGTCACAGTATTAACATAAGAAAAGATTACAAAATGAATATGGGAAGAATTCAGTGGTCAGCTTCACACTCTGGCTGCTTTACCCTGGGGAAAGAGCTCCCAGTACCCACTGGACAGGAGACAGGGTGGGCCCCAGTCTGGATGATGTGGAGAACAGAAAATTCTTGACCCTACCAGGATTTGAACTCTGACTGCTCAGTTGTCCAGCGCATAGCCAGTCATTATACTGACTCAGCTATCCTGGCTCCCATATAACATGTAAGTAAGATACATAAAACAGACCAATTGTCTTTTTCATTATATAATGTGCACACAGGAAATATATTGTGACATGTTGAGCTATGGATGACGCCCCCCCCCCTGCCAGCCGTGATGCGCCGAGCGAAGCCGAAGTTAGCCAAGTCCTAGCATCCTGGTCGCTATGCAACGCGAGTCAACAGCAATGACGTCACCAAGGGTACCGCGGGTTGCTAGGCAGCGCGGGTAAACAGGATTGCGAGAGACGACGGTAGTAACAGCGGTTACTACCACTAGCGTTGCTAGCAACACAGCGCCAGGCAACAAGGGTGCTTATTACATGGCTGTTTTCTGTATTGTCCGATCGAGGCTACATGAGGAGCAGTGAAGGCTATTCAGAGTGAGTCCTTGAGCTACCTCCGAGTTAGTTCCGAGTTAGCCAGCAACCAGTCAGTTGTATTGTGGCATTTGGAGTGTAGTATTTGTGATACTGCAGATAGCAGTAGTTCTAAAACTGTCAATTGTGTGATTGTAAGTGCGAATGTGAAATAAAATTCGCTATATCAAATACGGCGTGAAGTTATTTGTCGCGTTATACACCCAATATGTGACAATATGTATATCATACATTTGAGGCGCATTCAGATATTTAATCTTTGTGTTTTGACCATTTAGTTTTTACTGTCACAATTTACCTTCTGCTTCTTATGCAGATAAAATGCTGCCTGAAAGTCTGCAGTAAACAAAGAACCTGACTCATGTTTAATGAACTCAGTGTCTCACCTATGCAAGGACAGTCGTGAGCAGTAAAGAGTTCTGATATAGCAACCAGGCACTTCAGGATTCACAGCAGAACTGATGCTACTGGAATAATCCAAAGCCATGTATTCTAACAACAATGTCACAAGATAAACTGAAGATCCTGGGTTTAATTACTGAATAAAACTTCCGTAATGAAATATGAAAACAGTAACCCAAAGACAATTCCTTTCAAACAATCACACTAAAACTGGTGGTGGCTAACATAAATACGCTAAAAATCAAAGACATTTCAATTTACATCATCGAAGTAGAATAAATGAGCGATGAAAAGAACTGAAAATGAAAGATGTTTCACTTCAGAATAGACAGACAGCTGTAAGTACACACTGTGACTCTCTGGCCATCATCTTTAGTTTAGATCATAAACTGCTGTGAAGTTAATGAACAGGATGGCCATGGCTTCACTCCTATTGCAACTCCAATGTACTCTCTTCAGTGGAGGAGCAGAGAGCAAGATACTGCCTTTGGGTCTTCACATAAGGTCCATTACTTCTTTCCAATTTTAACCAAAATAGAAAGACTACTTAAACCTCCCCAATATAAACTGAAACAAAATTGTCTGGTGGGAGCCAAGCTTGACCACCTCTGTGGTCTAGTGGTCAGCATTCCTGGCTACAGATCTAGAGGTCCGGGTTCGATTCCTGGTGCTACCAGAATTTTTCTGAGAAGTAGTGGGTCTGGGACGGAGTCCACTCAGCCTCCTGATGATAACTGAGGAGCTATTTCAAGGAAATAGCGGCTTCGGTCAAGAAAACCGAAATTAACGGCCGTGGGGATCCGTTGCGCTGACCACGCGACACCCTCTATCTGCTAAAGTTGGCACTAAACTTCTCAGTCGGTATAGTTCGCTTGCGGACTAAAATCATGGAGAAGGAGCCAAGCTCTTTCATTCAGATGGATGGGCAGAGACAGACATGACAAAGGTAATGTGCTTTTTGCAATTTATGTGAACATGCTTCAAAAGATGGAGTGAGTTAATATTAAGGGAAGAAACAAAGTTTTTCCAGTTGCTGGACTTAATTTTTCACCTGTTACAGATGACAAATTATTTGTTGAACCCTGCAAATAACTGTTACATATATTTGCAACATTGCCATGTTTATTAATTATTTTATAAATACAACAGTTTAATGCAAGTAATAAATTAAAACACCAAATTTTAGCAACCCTCTTTCTCGAGGAAAATATATTTTGGACAATTTTAAAACTTACACGGTTTGATTTCTTTTCCATTTGCAACAATCTTGAGGGTATGAAGATACAATGGTATAAACCATGGAATGTTTTCCAAATATACAACATCCAGTGCTTGCCAGTGTCCATTGTGTAGTTTGGTGACAATTCCTCCACGTTCCTGGCCATAGCCTGGTAACATAAAAGTCCAGTAATTACGAGTACTTGCATGGTATAAATACATCTCTCAAATTACATCTGTTGAATTAACAGATTTTACTCTTCAGTCACCAGGAGAGAGAGTGTCTAAATAAAATCGGGTAGTTTCACATGGAATTCAATATTGATAATGGAGACATTTATACTGATACTGAACTGTTAGGTTCTCCTTAAATAGCTCCAATACCCAATTAAATTGAGCTGTATATTACCTTTACTTAAATTAAAAACTTCTGTACCTAAATTAAAACAAGCTATTGCTAAGTAAAACTACTTAAATTAATTAAATAACAGAACTCAGTCTTAAACACTGCACATTATTTTTATTTACATAACACCATGGTTATGTGTATCATATAATGTACTTCCTTGATTCTAAGACATTTCTTTTTGTTTTTGTTTGTTCTCTTCATATTTTACAATTTCTGAAATCAGGGTGTGTTTTACATTTGACGGTTTCTAACAATCATCAAAAAATTACATTATATGACCACAGTGCAAAGAAAATCTCCATGTCCATAACACCAGTCATGGAATAATAAACAAAAAGATAGCAACAAAGGAGATTCTGAAAGTATTTCTGCATATTTCTATTAAAGTCATTACATGCGACATTATATAAAACACCTGATGGGGCTTGGAGGCTGGAAATGCTAAATTAAAATATTATCCAAAACATTGTGATGAAGAGAGATCAGGCACTGTTCACTTTTACACCTGTGTTCATTACTGCATCTCAAGTCGATAGCATCGTTTTTCTGGAAAATCTATTACTAAATCTGGGGTGTCTTAAAATTGACGGCCATCTTTGAATTGAACAAATATGGCATTTATTTCTTTCCAGTACTTTAATGAAACATCTTACCAGGTTTTCTCAAATGGAGGAAGCTATGGGTTTTCAATATTTTTTTTTCTGGGAGAGGGAGTTATTTTCTGCTACCAAGAAATTATGTGTTGTGCCTATATAACAGATCCAAGTTTGTGGCAAGATTTTGTTAATTTTCTGCATTATCATGGAAAAATATAGTACAATAATATCCTGCAACCCCATATAATGCTCTTTATTCTCATATAAGGTGATGCCACTGCATTAACTGTTGTCATGGTCAAAGAAGTAACAATGTTTACCCACCCAACTACTGAGAGTTGATTAGTCACTTCAACTCTATGTAAGGTTTCTGCTTGTTCTTGCCGTTTTGTATTCCCATACATGAAGCCAATCTTTATGCATTATTCATGTCTTGCATATAATTCTAAATAAATTAACAATTTTAACTATATTTAGGGATTTAAATTTATCGTATAATTGTAATAAATTACAATTTTATGAACACATTCCATCATTACTACATTAAAATGTTTCAGAAGGTGCTCATGATCCCAGAAACACATCCCAGCATTAAATGTGGTATTACTGTAGAGCAGAAAGCTGTCAATACTGGATATTCACATTTACAATGTTAACAGCGTACAACTTTGACCCTGCCATCAATCAGTATAAGGTAAGATCTAAAAGTCTGTGACAATAGTATATTAATAATAATTATTGTTTCTGGACATTACCCACTGTTTTGTTTTTTATCTAAAAACAATATTTCGGAGACTGGATTCCGTCTCCATCTTCATGTAAAAATCTACTCAGTTGGACCCAATCAACAGAGCTATTTACTATCTCCAAACTAGCTCTATCAATCAGGCCCAACTGAGAAGGTTTTTACCTGAAGACAGAGACAGAATCCAGCCTCCAACACGTTGTGTTTGAAATAAAAAACAGGATGATGGATAATGTCCAAAAACACAATAACTGTTTAAGTATAAGGACTTATGTAAGTAAAGTAAAGCTATCCCTGTAACAGGCCGTGAAGGCCCATAGGGTTGTGAGACGTTAAGGGTCCCACATTACCTTGACAATTGGCTCAGAGATGGCGGTAAGGTTGTCAGCCTTATGCGCCGGCCATGCTTCACTCCCCAGGAAAATCATTTAATTCCTGGTATTCATTTCTGTTAGAGGCTGAGTAAACCCCAGGGCCTAGTGCGGCCGGGAGGATTAGCTCAATTGAAAAAAATCCAATGACCTCATCGGGACTTGAACCCGCGACCTTCCGGCTTGTAGCACAGTACCTTAACCACTATGCTACCGATAAGGACTTATGTAACATTTAAAAATGGTGAGGAAACTGGAATTTTCATACAAGACTCCATACCATGCCTGAAATTGTTACATATTCATGCTGAAATGACCTACCAATAATGTATCTATTAGCAAATAATACTGGTGGAATGTTAACTCCATAAACTCGCGATGAACTATAAACTGCTGCAATATTGAACATGCCATCAATGTCCAGTGCCTTGATATCATAAACAGCAAACTTGCTCTTGTGGCCACCACGAGTACTGGTAATTACTGCTGGTGGAGTTGGAGTCAACTGAAAATGAGCTCCTGTCTGAAACACACGTTAACATATAACGGACACAACTGAATAATAATCCTCTCAAAAAATAAGTCTGTGATTTTGTAGGTTATAATTTACTGATGCACTCTTTTTGTGTTAATTCATGAGGTAAGTTGTGTGTGAAGCAGCACACCCTTGAGATGTGCACTTTTTCCTTAAAATGTCTAATTTGCTAGTCTACTGCATTTCAAATGTCAGAATTAGAGGAGAGGTGACCAACCACAATGTGAGAAATACATTCTTACAAGTTAAAGTAACAAATATAATTACAGATAACAAACATAAATGCAGAAAGCAATAACATACAAAATTATCCTCAAATGGTTATAGAAGGTGAATTACACAGAGTCTGTCACAATTCATGGGCACATTATTCAGTGATTTTGAGTAACTATATACAGTAAAACCTGTCTTCAACGGAATCTCAAGGGTCTAGAAGACATTTCTGCTGAAGCCAAGTTTCCATTCAATCAAGGTATATTAAACCAGGACATGCATGTATTGGAGACAAAATAAAACACCATACTCATTAATTTATTCACACTATATTCAATGAACACATGCAAACATTACATTGAACAGGAAAAAATTGCAGTATTCACTTTTTATAATTTTACCAGAACTCAAGCAGAGTTTTTTAAGAAATTACACTAAGCATGTCTGAATCATTCTGTTGTATCGCAAATTGCTAGAGTCACTTTAAACTTTTGACAGCATCTTGATAAGTCTTCACTCTAAACTTTTCTTCCTCTATCGTAATCTCATTTTCTTCTTCTTCTGCTTCTTCCTCTTCCTCCTCCTCTCGTCTTTTTCGACTTTCTCTAAAACTCTGAACTAACGCATCTATATCCATTGTGTCCGGTTCTGTTTGCATATCTCTGTCTGTGTTTATGTAGTCCTCATCATTGCAGCTACTGAAAGGAGCTTTATTCATGCAATTTTGTAAGCCGTGCTCATCATTCTCATTTTCTACACTAGCAGTAACTTCACCCGTAACAGACAATTTATCTCGCTTGACTGTAAGAATCATTTTTACTCTTGTGTTAAGATCAAGTACAACTCTCGTCTTTGTAGCTACGATGACAACTTCTAAAGTAAAAATGTAGGCCTAGCAGCCTTTACTGAGTAAAATTTCCAGAAAGGACAAACAGTTCAGTTGAATTTCAGTGCAGATAGTGCAGTACCGCTAACAAAATTCTGTAGAATGTATAGGATTCCTAAAATTCTTCTAAATGATGCATTCCGGAAAACTGGAAATTTTCTGTATAAAGGCTTATTTTGATTTCTGTTTCTGTGTTAGACAGTTTGCATTTAATCCAGAACATTTAACTTCTATTTCAGACCCAAAGTCATGGGACCTGAAAATATTTCTGTTTAATAAATAGTCTGTGTAAAGCAGGTTTAACTGTGTGTGTGTTTCTATATACTAGGTGGTTCAAATATGACCGGGACTGATTTAAAAAAAAAAGAAACATAATTGCTAAACACTTACTTGCACATGTCAGTCTTCAACGTACTCCCCTCCGGAGTCAACACATTTTTTCCAACTTTCTGGAACCATCCTGATCCCCCCCCCCCAAAAAAAGACTTGTGGTTGGCGGCGTATCCACTCCCGAACAGTCTGGATGACGGTGTCGTTGTCCACAAGCCACATGCCTTGCAAGTCTGATTTGAGCCTTCCGAACAGGTAGAGGGGCCAAATCGGGACTGTATGGCGGATGTGTCAGAAGGTTCCATTTCAATTTCCAAAGAGTTTCCATTGTTGTTTTGGCCGTATGGGGGTGTGCATTGTCTTGAAGGAAGGCTACCCACTTTCCACCTGTCTTCCGCTTGGATTGGATCTTACTCCAAGTTCCTTGATAGTGATGCGCCTATTCTCATGAATAAGCACGTCTGCACGATCAATGTTCGGCTCGGTGATGGATGTTTGCGGCCAACGATCATGCAGTTCATTCTCCACGCGCTCTCTGCCCTCTCTGAAGCACTTACACCACTCAAACACATGGGTCCGTGAGAGACACTCTTCCCCATACTGTTGTTGGAGTCTGTGGTGAATTTCAGTGGACTGGACGTTTTCTCCAACGAGGAATTTGATCACAATGTGTTGTTCCATGCTCCGCGGTACCTTCTGTTCTCTCATCACTCTAGCAACTTCCAGACAGGACTGAACAGGTTCTAACCCTAACAGGAGGGGGGGTGGAGGTTGTGGCTTCACTCTCTCAACATCGCACAGCTGCTGTGCAGTGCGGCTTATTTACAAAAAAATCAGTCCCGGTCATATATATAAATTTTCACGTGTTGGGTGTGTGTCACGCGACAAATAACTTCTCCTGTTGTCATTTCCATTCACTCGATACAACCCAATAACAATGGACTTCACCTCATACTGGATACTAGTAGCTGGCTCAATCAAAGTAAAAGTCACACAGCGACTGACGACCTGCCAGTCAGTAAGTCTTGGTGTCGAGCACCCTCCTGGGGCTCATGACCAGATATTTATTACCGTTTGACAGTTATGGTCTTATTACTCACTACTCAATCCTTATGTAGCTTCCACACTGACAACACAGAAAACAGTTATATGATAGTTACCACTGTTGCGTGATGTTGTGTTTACAGGCGTTGCTGGGGAACGCTGCCACACATTCCTTGGGTCGCAGATTTCCTGAAGATGTTCTTTTGCGCCATGCCACCACTGTTGCATGGCGGGACACCTTCCTGCTAGTTTTCTTCGGCTGTGCCACTTCCACACGGTGGCTCACCCCTCTGCAGGCAATGGCCATACTTCTTCGGCACCCATCCTTTCCCTGGGTTCATTTCTTCATTTTTTGCTGGTTTTTGTCCCTACGCCTTTTCTTCTTCGGTGCTCCGACCTGCATTACTTCGGTGTCTTTTATGGGGACTTCTTGTTGTTAGGCCACCTCAGGTTTCCTGTCCACTGAGGTCGGCTCTTCTTCTTCTAGACGTTCCTCAATCTCTTGGCAGGCCATCATCTCTTCGTCCATTTTGGCCACCATCTCCTTGTGGCTGGTGCCCATATTTTCTTCCATGGCTTTCATCCTTGCTTTGGTCACTTCTGTCGTTGCTTGTGTAGCTCTTGTTTCTGCATCCATCTTTTCTTGCCAGGCACTCACCTCTTTCAGCAGGAGTTCCATCATCTGCTGTGTGTCCATCTTTGGCTTTCCCTGTAGTCTTAGTCCAATTTTAGGTCTTAGATTGAGGTGTGTTCATGTTCGTAAACCAATTCTGACACCAAACTGTCACGTGTTGGGTGTGTGTCATGTGACAAATAACCTCACCTGCAGTCATTTCCATTCACTCAATACAACTCAATAACAATGGACTTCACCTCATACTGGATACTAGTAACGGGTTCAATACTCACAACTCAATCCTTATGTAGCTTCCGCACTGACAACACAGAAAACAGTTACGCGATAGCTACCACTGTTGTGTTACGTCATGTTTACAGGCATTGCTGGGGAACACTGCCGAGTTGTTGATTGTTGGGTAGCAACTAGCGCGCTTTGGCTCTACTCAGCACGGTACAGAGAAACACCGCTTTCCCTATTGTTCCGTAACCTTGTTTCCACTGTCACGTAACTTGGTAACCGACCATTTATCAAGGGTCTGTTTTCATGGTAACTCCTGTTGCCTAGCAATGGTTAGACATGTCACAATATATGAGGGTCGTACTGAAAGTCATGAGCAACAATTTTTTGTAAAGTAACATGCTTCATTATTGACAAACCAAATACACCACCTCAATCTACACATCTTTCTTTATTTTTCCACATAATCGCCACTTCTTTGTACACATTTCTCCCAGCGTTCTGGGAGTTTGAAAATTCCCCTTCTGTAAAATTCCATTCCAGCCATCCGAAGACACTGACGCACTGCTTTCTGAATTGCCTCCCTTGTCTCAAAACGTTGTCCACGCAGCTGATCCTTCACAAATCTGAAAAGATGGTAGTTGGAGGGTGCCAGATCAGGGCTATAGGAGGGGTGTGGAAGAACTTCCCACCCCATCTTTGCAATTGCGGGACCGCGGGACCCAATGAGCACAAATTTTCCTATAGCCCAAGCTTTCAATCATCTCCTGTACTGCACTGTGTCCTATTCCAAGTTTTTGGGCTATTGTGTCCACAGTCACATGCCTGTCATCTTGAATGATCTCATCCACTCTTTCCTTGTTGCGTTCAGTTGGGGATGCTTGAGGATGACTGCTCTGAGGCTCATCTTCGATGCTGGTGTTCCCATCTTTGAAATGTTACACCCATCTTCGAACACTGTTTGCACCCATGCACGCACTTCCGTAAGCATGCTGAAGTCTCTGGTGAATTTCTGCAGCAGGGATTTTCTCTTTCACAAGAAATTCGATGACAGCACGCTGGCGAAACGACATATTGTTGTTGGCCATTTTGTTAGGAGTGATACTGGTCACGTGATGCAAGCTATTGATGTCACAAGACACTCAAGGTTAACACAACAGCTTGTTCCACCTTCCACTGCACTCTCTTTCGCCTGCTGTTCCCAGGTTGCATGCAAAAAAAAGTTGCTCATGACTTTCGGTACGACCTACATGTGTATATATATATACACACACACACACACACACATTTCCATGTTGTCTCTTTCAAGGAGTTATAACAAGGAAAGGCAGAGCCAATCAGTCAGTTAAGAGTTTGGTTCTGCATTGGATGCTGTGCATGAAGCAGAAGAATCTACACTGTTGGAAGCCGTCACCAGGGAACAGCTGATGAAGACACAGCAGGCTGCAAAAAGGCTTAGAGGGTGCTGTGATGATTTGTGAATCATGGAGATAAGTGATGGCACTGTAACTGCTTCTAGTTCTGAGTTGTGTGCATAAGTGGTCAATAAATAGTTTCACCAGTCCAAACCTTGTCTATATTCACCCCTAATTTGTGATAATATTAACACGGGTCCAATTCAGAAAGTTTGAGAAATTTTGGAAGTTTGAAAGCAAGATAAGGACATAGCAGATATTAAGCATTAACAAAGAATGTTATACAAAAACTGCAATAATAAAACTAAAATAAGTGTCATTTAATAATGGAAAATATTATAAAAACTGCTAAAAGTATCCACCCGTGACATATCATGTGAGCATGCTGTATTATTTAAGTGGCTGGCAACACTATACTCAATAAATTCAGACAGCTGACGGAGCTACTGAACAGTTTATCGAATGCGTTTCATTATTAATGCATATTTTAGTTTAATGATTGAAGTTACTGTGAAATTTCTCATTTAAACCGACAATTTCTTTCTTTGAGACTGCCAAGATTTCTTCATCTTTCTGAAACTGGCCCATGTTAGCATTAACTTTTTCACTCAGAACATTTGGTTAATATACCCATGAATTATGCAGACTCCCACTGAATCAAACTGCATAATATTTTATAATCTATATTCGAATACTGCATTACATGAGAAAAGCCACTAATTACATGCAAATACACACCTCCATTTCAGATAAAATTTTTGAAACATACTACAGAGTCCTAATTGTACAAAGAAGACATATTCTTTTTGGTCCCCAAAATACGATGAATTCATTTATGCCTTTGAAAATATATGATCAAAATAAGTCTCAGTTATATCATGATCTTGCATTATCATGTGACCCCATGTTACAGGTTCTGGGATGCTCATAGTAAATCTATACTTTTAAAATTTTGTTATTGACTTATTAGACTCTAATGATTAATGCCTGAATTTGTGGCTGTGCGTAAAAGAGATTCAATCTTATTAATTTCTTTTAACATACTTTGCTTCAAAGGTATTCCTATGGATGTTATTAATGATCTCCCTACAGAAATTGTACAATAGCATCCCTTAAAAACATACAGTTTCAAATCGCAGCGAAAACTTACACTATCATAATGTCTAACTACATTTATCACTTATGTGAACAGGCTTTTCAGCCACCTAGGCCACCTTCAGGGCATTGCTATCTATATCATGCTAAAACACACCACCCTTACATTCAGTCTCTGTATAAATACTATCACAATGTCGCTGTGTGACAATATAACACAGTGTGCCAACAGAACACTACACAGGCTGGTTGCACGTGGTACTACTCAGCTGTCCTAAAGTTTTGGTAGGTGAGGGGAGCTGTTATTGCAGCCGATATGCCAGCTGACTAAAGGGAAGAGGGGGGAAAGCACTGACATACGTGCTCGCAGAGCAAACCTGGCTCCTATCGTATAAAAGTTTACATAATGGTACTATAGCCCTTTGACTACCAAGCCCATACTTCTAGAAATGCCAATGCTGCAGAACAGATGCAGTGGCACACCTACAAAACTTCCTTAAACAACCTTTTAATAACCACAAGTAAAGATCATATGAAAGCCTGTTCTTTCATCTAAACATGGTATGCCACATCTGACAGTATTAACTGAGAGGAATGCTGTGCCAGCTGATCAAAATCGAGCTACTGCTTTCAGCTGTGCAGTTTTAACACAGGTACCTTGAAAAGATCTAATTGGCTTGTGGCATGTATAAGGTTAGGTATTAAAATTTTACCTACATTTTTTCTTTTTATTTTTATACATAGAATAAATGGCAGTTGCACTTATGTATGATACTTGACTTGAATATCATAAAGTTGTCCATGTACAATGTCTCAATCCAATTTTAGTGCCCAATCAAACAACAATAATAATACATGGAAAACTGCAATTAATTACTAAATAGGCCAAAATTTCTCTGAAATGGTGGCTTTTAAGAAGTCAACAAACAAAGCAGCTGACATGTAAATGTGTCAACACACCTCATTTAGTGCAATGTCAATGTAAATATTACTCATTGTAGCAAGGGGACATGCTCCACTCAAACCGATTCCAAAAAGCTTCTTTATGGACCAATCTTGATTCCCTGTTCCTAGTATGACCATGTCGTATACCAGGGACACTGTCTGCCGTAGCTCCACTGACATCTGGGAACAGGTGGTATCCTGAAAATAGATATGTGACAGCATATTGCCAGTCAACAAATGTATTTTATGGATAAGAGTGCAATATTCTACATAACTGGTTGTTGTTCAGCACTTACATAGTAGTAGGGGACCCAGGTAACCTTGCAACTTTACAGCCATGTTTTCAACCATGTTAGCATGGTCAACCATATACATTTATTTGTAAAACCAAAAGCTTATACTTAGACAAATTTTATGTTGCATACTGGTCCTAAACATAAAGAATTCAGTGGCTGGCCTTATTTCTGAATTAATCTTACCCTGCATACTGGTCGTAAACATAGAGAACTCAGTGGCTGGCCTTATTTCTGAATTGATCTTACCCTGCATACTGGTCGTAAACATAGAGAACTCGGTGGCTAGCCTTATTTCTGAATTAATCTTACCCTGCATACTGGTCATAAACATAGAGAATTCAGTGGCTGGCCTTATTTCTGAATTGATCTTACCCTGCATACTGGTCGTAAACATAGAGAACTCGGTGGCTGGCCTTATTCCTGAATTAATCTTACCCTGCATACTGGTTGTAAACATAGAGAATTCAATGGCTGGCCTTACTTCGGAGTTAATCTTACCCTGCATACTGGTCGTAAATGAAGTCCCAGAGAATGGTAGTTGGTGTTATGAATATGGCCAGCATTCAGCAACGTTGACAGCCCTTTCTGAAAGAAAAATTGCTGTAGAGATTTACTTTATTACACTACACTGTTTCTGTTGTGTATAAAATGCCGTTTTATTTCATCACCTTAGCATCACAAGGCAGAAGCTTCTTCCATGGGGTCAAATTTTCAGTACAAACAATTTCTCTTGGAAGAGTGGAATAACGGAGGTATGATGAATTCACGGCTCCACTTGATACAATTCCAGCTGGTCGAAAAGTGAATTCAGGATTCAAACTGTTTGATGCATCAACAAAATTGAATGAAACACAGAGTAACCCTGACAGAGCTCCTGCCAGTTCCTTCCAAGTTTTATCAATGCTGAAAGAGAGAGATATGTAAATCAAACACTGTTCAGTATCAATGACAAAATTTTCAAAATACACAGAAGAACTGTAATAATCGTGAGAAAATCTACCTTAAGCCAACTTTGGCTATGCTCGAATGGTGCTGAAATAATCATGCAGATGGAATAATTATGCTCTGCTTGGATGGATGGGCAGACGCGCGAACGAACGAACGAATGAACGAACGCACACACACACCTCTCTCTCTCTCTCTCTTTCTCTATTAAAATGCTTACTTTTTTGTGCTTTCTTTAAACCATGCCCAGAGTTCAGCTCCAGGTGCTGCATCATGTACAGGATAACCCCAAGTTTCATGTCTCCAAAGCCCTTCAGTAAGGCTAATGTGAAGCTCCTGGACATTGTAGCGGCCTACAATTTCTCCAAGAGCCCGTGGGAACAGATGGCAATGTTGAACTGAGAAATAAAAATTATTTCATTAGTCTTTCTGAGGAGGTGCTGAAATGTTTTAAGTATTACAATAACAAAATTAATTTTTCTAACATATAACATATATATGTACTCCTTTATACTGGCTGTTTTGTGATGTACTAGGGCAAAAATATCCACTAAACATACAGGCCAATTTGACACCGTTACTGAGCTAAGGGCTGGTGGAAAAGGCGGGAACTCCAGTAACTTGACTGAGTTCATATCTGTACACTGTCTAGGTCAGCATGGCTGTGTTGTGTTGCAGTGCAACTGTAGTGAAAATAACTAGCAAATTTACAAAGAATGTGATAAAATGATTTCATATATGATCTCTGCAATGGAAATGCTAGGGCTGCTGTGGTGGAATACCGGCAATCATATCCACATCACAGAACATTTAAGAACATACAGAGAACTTTGAGAGAGGCTCATTCCTTCCCGCCAGTGAATGCAGAATGTGAATAACAGTATGGAGATGATGATGTTCTGGCAGTGTACCATAGCAATAAACCAGGAGCAAGGCAACTGCTAATATAGTCAGCAGATGAAGCCACTGTTGGTATCCAAAAGAACTGGGTGACTGCAATGGCAACATTTAATGGCACAATGACTGGAAGAATGCATGTAGTCTAATGGTGGGCATTTCAAACATGTGTTGTAATAACCTTAATCATCATAAGCATTTAAAATGATGATAATAAAGGTGAGAGGAAAACATGTTTTTTATTCTGTGCTACATTAAGCTAGTGCTTAACTCAATAATGGTGTCAAATCAACCTACAGTTTGTTCCATATATTTTGCACTATGCTACAAGCAGGAAGGTCGTGGGTTCGACTCCTGACGAGGTCATTTGATTTTTTCAATTGACCTAATTCTTCCAGCTGCACTATGGCCCTGGGGTCGACTCAGCCTCTAACAGAAATCAGTACCAGGAATCTTCCTGGGGTAAAGGGCAGCTGGCATGTAAGGCTGATAACCTCACCACCAACTGTGAGCCAATTGTTAGGAAAATGTAGAAGCCTCAACATGTCACAACTCTCTAGGCCTCCACAGCCTGTTACAGAGTTACCTTATGAACCAAGGTATGACACTGGCCATGCCATAGCTCAAGCGGTTACTCGCTAGCTTCCCACCACAGCAGCCCGGGTTTGATCCTGGTTCTGGTCAAGTGGGATGTGGTGGACAAAGTGGTGCTGGGGCAGGTTTTCTCTGAGTACTTCAGTTTCCCTTGCCAATCTTCATTCCACCAGTTGCTCCACAATCACCCTCACCTATCATCTGGGGCTGGTACAATAGGCCAGAAGTGGTCGCAGTACAAGGGACTTAGTCCCACCCCACTAGCAATAAAAAAAAAGGTATGACACATCTTGTGTGGGCAATCATATGGAAGAAAAATTCTGTGTACATATGTTTGAATTCCACTGGTTTATGAATACTGCAAACATGTTGAAAACAGAATAATTTTTCAACAATGATGTAATGGTTCATGTCACTAACTGATGATGATGATGATGATGATGCACTCTCATTCCATTCCACATGGAGTTTATCATGCCCATCCCAATGTTGAATCTGTAGATACTATTAAAAAACATGGTTTCATGACTGAAGCCACATTTCCATCCAGAAGTTACAAAATACCTATAGCCATTTTTTCTACTTCTGGTCAGCAAAATAAAACAAATGCAAAAGAAAGGTGTACCAGAAGCTCATCTGTTCATTTTCAGATACATCAGGCTCATTGGTGTCAGATACAGCCACAGTCTGGCTCAATGCCTTTCAACAGTCAAGAAATGAGAACATGCTGCTGCCTACGGTTACCATTCACAATATGACACCTTAAAACTGAAGAAATTTGAGATGAACAGCAAATTTCAGTTGGAAGTATCATAAACAAAATGATTTATTAAAAAGAATTAAGAACAGAACCCATATTCCAGAGTTCTATCAACCATATAACGCTGTGTAGTCCAATGACAGACAACCTGCTTCATGCTGGTTTCTTGCTTGGCTTATTCTTCAACACTAAAGATGGATGTGACATGATCCTTCGAAATGTCAGTTACTTTCAACGGACTATACGGCGTTACATCCCAGAAGACAGAACTCTTCATAACCATCACTCTAAGGCCGCGCCATAGCTCAAGAGGTTAGTTGCTGGCTTCCCACGGCGGCGGCCGGGGTTCGATAGCGGGTCTGGTCAAATGGGATTTGTGGTGGACAAAGTGGCACTGGGCGGGTTTTCTCAAAGTACTTTGGTTTTCCCTGCCAATCTTCATTCCACCAAATTCTCCATCATCATAATCACCCGGGGCAGGCTACAATAGGCCAATCAGTGGCCACCGTTCCGAGTGGACTCAGTTGGACTCCGCCCCCCACAAAGCGAAACACCACTCCGAGAAAATCAAATCCTACGGAATCCACATTCAGAAAATTTTCGAAATGTAAATCTAGTTGGATTCACCATGACCGGTCGTGACGAAACATAGGTCACAAACTATTTAAAATCTGAAAACCAAATGGCTCAAGGAACGGATAAATACTACATGAATAACGGCTGATCGGGTCAACATGTGGCCAAAATCCCCAGAGTGCTAGATGATGATGTACAATACGCATAACCTTTAATACAATATGTACACAACTACTTAACTTACAAGAAGTGGCTTCAAAATCAACATCCCACAAAGTTGTGAACTGGAAATACGCATAAACATGACCACTGGGTAAGGGCTTCAATAACAGCTCCTCATCAAAATAATCTTTCTGTGGTGTACATATAACTGAAGAAATGCACTGCAGGCACAATAGACCCGAAAAAATTGTATGCAACACCACCATCATTTTAATATTTTGAGCTGCTTATTATTTTATTCCTTTCTTCCTTCTGCTCATATTCTAATTTCCGAAACAGCCCACCTACAATCGACCTCACATAAGCACCTCAATCACGGATCATACATTCTCGCTATAAAATGCAAAAATCTAAATCTTTATTTCCAATAATATTCGTCTACGGTGAGGAGCTCTTCCTCAATCAACTTTCCACAAAACCTTCGGCAGGTTCCTTAATTCTTCTTGCCATATTAAAAAACAAACGAATCACTGCCGTGCGTCAAGGTACAGCCGATTTCTAAGAAACTACGAGGCAACTCACTCGAACTCAAGCTTCGTTGCCTGGAAATTGAGTTTCTCAGTCTCCCCGCAAGTTGCGTTTCCGTTTCCTCAATTTGCGCTGCCGCATTTACTAACATGTGTTCAACTCCGGCTGATAACACTTTTCGGAAATCGCGGTTGCGTTTAAGTTTCCAGCTTCCTTGGTGTGCTTCCGGCCTTAAAGACCAAACACAGCTCCGTGGCAATGACCATCAATATGCTCATTGACAGGCATGAGACAGTGTTATTTTCGAAGGGGGAGAAGAAGAAGTTTTAAAGCGGGGTGGGGTGGTGGCGGTGGAGGTAGTAGTAGTAGTAGTAGTAGTAGTAGTAGTAGAGGTAGTAGAAGAAGAAGAAGATTGTGATGATTGTGATGTTGGCGGAGGAGGTGGAGGAGAAGAAGAAGAAGCTGGAGCGTTAGTAATTTAGTAATCCGTGTTCCGGTGTCACCAATGTTGAATCCGTTGCAACTGAGGAGTGTGGAGAGAATAGTGGTGTTGTATAAATTTGTGTAGTGCTTGAGTGTTTCTTTTTTTATTAATGTGAAGTGTACTTCAGCGGAAGCGTTCGGGAAAATGGAACTTGATATAAACAATCTTTGTAATGCTTTGAACATCTTGGTGAAACCAGCCGATAAAGGTGTGTATAGAGAAAAGCTGGCAACCGTCCTAATAGTAGTCCTACATACACAGGTTGGAAGCCCCTCGCAGTGATTCGCATCACATGCCGGAAAACGATGATATTTTCTGTAGCTCCCTAATTATGCTGTTTTCAGGATGCATAGACGCATGAAACTTGATGGTAATGCGTATTTTGGTATGGACACTTATTTATTGTGTGTCATTATGTACAGTAAGGAATAATTCCTATTGGGTATGGTTTATTTGTACTGTTACTTTTCAGCAACTCCCAAGAATACAGAATTGATTTCAAATGGAAGCAAAGAGTAATGGTTGTTCAGGGATAGTAATTTCATGTAATAGGTTTTATTCATTTCGTATTATTAGTGGGGGTTAAAGCGTTTCTTTAATTTTTTGATGATTGTGAAGTAGGGGCATATGTATAGGTAGAGAAAACCAATTGGGTAGAGTGTGGAACCTGTTGGGTATATATGTTCGCCATTTTTCTGTCCATATTGCATTGTGTCTTGTGTATTTGCCAACAAGCACATGTTGCAGTAAATTATAGTGTTGTGAGTTGTTCTTAGTCTGATCATTCGGTATTCTAAAAACACAGCATGGGTCACGATGGAGGTATTCGACTCTGCCACCACACGGGGTACAGAACTGACTGTCAAAGCCAAAGTCACATTACAACTGACGGCCAGTCAGTCAGTCAGTAAGTCTTTCATGACCAGATATTAATTATTACCGTTTGGCAGTTAGTCTTTTTTTTTCTGTGGGATACCGTCTCTAACAAGAGGACAGGTCTGTCATTTGTGTATGCTTCCGAGTCTGAGTCCCTTGGGACTCGTGACCATATTTTACTGTCTCAGATTTGAGACAGTCTATCTGACTGGATGCAACACTAGAAGATAACTACAACTATATACAGTATATACCTGAGATTGGGGTTTCTCAGTGGGAGAGACAGAAAAAATTGTGGAAATGGATGTTTATACCTGAAACTGAGACAGAAGAGGAAGTGGAAAAGACATGCATAAAATTAATCCAACAACCAAATCCATGAACACCAATACATAGGAATAATTGGAAGATTTTTGTGTCACTGTATAACACCAGATTAAGGTTGGCTCTTTCAAATGCAGTGTTCCGCAACCTTTTTCTACTCATAGCACACCATGAAGTATCCATGACTCAACATGGCACACCAAAATGTTATTCCCTTCAAAAACGCATGATATCAGACAATTAATATAAATATGTAACATGATCAACTTATTACTATAATTATTATTATACTGTTATTTTATTATCATTAAACAGAAATGACTCATGCATTTATTAACAGTTAATGAACTTTAATTCACTGTAGAGTGTAGAAAATACACTTCTATTACTATTAAAAGAAATACAGTAATTCTACTCACACCTGCTTAGCGGCACACAGGCGACTGATCCGTGGTGGAATCGTTGACAACGCAAGTCTCATTTCTTCATCGATGGATTTGAGCCTCTCCCTCTTTGATGTCTTAATTTCAGTTAATGTCGAGAAGCCAAGTTCACACAAATATGTAGTTGAAAATGACAGTAACACATTAACTGCCATCTCGGAGATAGCTGGGTATCCACTCCTTATTGCCAACCAAAACGTATCCAAAGGCACTTCGAGAAGTTTTAGTTTCAATGTTCTGTCTGCTTTTAAATCTGTGAGTTCCTCTTGTATATTAATTGGAAGATGTTCTGAATTCACAACAAATGGATCACGAACCCAGTCAAAATCTTGTACACTCTCTCCAAAATACTTAATGAATTTCTGCTGCAGCATTTCTAAATGTTCTTTAATTGTGTCCATCACTTTATTGCCGTCAGCAAGAGGCCATACAGTCGGGGACATCTCAAACGACCCATCTGTAATTCTCTAACTAGCAACCAAAATTTGCGAACTACTTCAGAGCACAGCTGTGATAGAACTGAAACAATTGTAAAACGCGGGATCTCTACTCTTCAAACGGAAGAAGTGACACAATATCGACTTATTTTTGAAATATTTATAATTTTAAATGAAGTCCAACAATCGGTGGGTGCATCGTTACAGGAAGAAAGTCATAAAGTTGAAGAAGCTCTAACTTCTAACAAACAGGGGCAAATACCGAAACAGCGTTATAAAAGACAGGAAAACCCATGCTAATCCCTGCAGTTTTAGGGAAAAGCACGTACACAGAACATGCGGCAAGCATATCAAAGAAGCTGCGTAGATGCGAGAAAAATAAAAATAAATCAATAATGAAAACTATGATATAACAACAACTGTGAGTAAATAATTTTCGTTTCTTAGAATACAACGTTACTGTACATAAAAGATCACAGCATGTAATAAAGAATAAATAAGCATCATCTTGTTTAATCAGTGCATTGGCTGAGAATAAAATACAAGCATATGAAACATGGTAACGGGGATAAAATAAAACGAATAAAATTCGACAATTAATTTCTTACAATAGGTAAAAGCTCGCGTCACACCTCTCTCCTTGTGACGGCACACCGGTTGCGGAACACTGTTCTAATGGATGCAACAGAGTAGATGCCTCCCCCTCTTTCACCTGAGTATAGAAACAGATCCAGTTTCTGAAGCATTGTGTTCTTTAGAGTACAGGGTGATGGATGAAGTTCAAAAATCCAGTAACCTCAACATGTTAACAGTGATCATTGATGCCAGCATAGAGCTGAAGTCATCAGTTGCCTTGATATTTTTATCACCTTTAGTTGGGGTATGTTTTATGTTTTGACCTAGTCTGATTTTTCTTGTCAAATTTTTAATCGGCATTAGGTTATATTATTTTAATTTAATTTATATTAACTTATGTAAGATTTGGAGTTTTTGTATTTATTACATTCAATTTGTGATTGTCCGTGGTATAGCACTGCAGTATGGTCATGATGTATGTAAACTTAGGTAGGATTTGAGGTTCTCACAGCGGTGGTTAAGAAGAATACCATCTTCTGGGACATAACGCCACATCGTCCCTTGTAAATCAACCGACATTTTGGTTGAACATATTTTCTCTATCTCCAGGTTCGAAGAATAAGCCAAGCAAAATACTAATGTGAAAGAAGGTGGCAAGCAAAGCAGTTGGCTAGCTGGAATTTTGGTTTATAGGGCCATTACATGTTGGTATTGGGTGTATACATTAGACAGATGGGCTGTTCGATTACCAGGTTGAAGGAGCACCAGCTATATGTCTGTCTAGAACATTCGAAAAGCCAGCTGTGGTGGATCCCAGTATGAACTCTGAGCACCATGCCACACTGCCATCCCCTCAGTCAAATACAGATACATGGATTGCATTGTCAGGGAGGCAACTGAGATTGAGTTCCATCCCAAGAATATGAAGAGAGGCAGGTCTGTGCACACTGCCCTTACCAGGGCACAAACAGTGCCCTCTCTGGGCACTCACCAGCCTCCACCCTGATGTCCTAACTTCCCACCACTACCTCTGCTCCGTCATCCCCCACTACATGTCTGCAACTCTCTCACATGACTTCTCTCCCTTATGCATTGGTGCCCTGCCCACCACACCCTTATATTTTTTCCCTTGTCTTGCTCCTAGACCAGCAAAACCTCCCCTTTTCAGGGCCATCCTTAACGCCTGTTCTTGTCTACTGTTGGTTCACTTGGTAGTCATATGAGGGCCAACCAGGTGAGCCAATGGGAACTCAGATCCACTCTTCCATTTTCCTCCCGTTTCCTATATAATCCAAAATTCTGGCTAGCTGATTGCTCTGCTTGCTCAGCTTGTTCTTCGACCTTGAAGATGGAGGCGACATGTTCCTTCGAAGCATCATTCATTTTCAACAGAGTGTAGAAGATTGTACTCTTCATATTAACTTACTTTAGTTGTACTTAAATTGATGATAATGGCATCATCCAAATGATTTGATGTGAGCAGATAACCTTATAGTAGTTCTGCTGTTGCCTGGTCGTTTGACAGTAATAATAATATCTGCAATTGATGCAGCATCAGTAAATAAGCAACACATACTATAATCGTATTATAGTGCTTGCTTTAACTGTTCGTGTGTGGTCAGAGGTAGAAAATTGTGTTTGATATCTAACATTTGATTACTGGTTGACCGGCTGTCCTGAGTGGTTTTCATGGTCTTTCTCAGACTCACAGGGAATGCTTGCTTCATAATTTCTCACAAGTCTTTGTTCATATTCATGGCTCCAGAAATACAGTTTAAAAACACTATCCACTTAAGCAGATGCACCAACCGGTAGACTAGCAATATGCTTGTAAATATTTTTGTACTCACCACTAATCTGCATTAACTTGCCAGTGGCAGTTGGCCATACATATTCTGTTTATAACCATTCATTCCTACATAACCTTCACAGTTGGCAGAGCCTCACAAACTAACCGAACAACCAACCGTTTCTTCATGAAATGCCTTGAGAGAATTTATTGATACATGTTATCACTGTATACAGAATTGTATGTCATGCACATGTTGAAACAGTTAAGAGGCTGCATGTAAAACAGAATGCAAGAAACTAATTTAGAAAAGTAAAAATATAGATTCTGTAAGTTGTGATATTTTGAGAATTTAGCTAAAACATTATCACCAGATTTAGTTTTCCTCTTATTGTCCACTTTAAAACAGTTTTCTTTCTCCAAACTTTTCATTGTGGTTTTGGAAGATTCCCGCATGTTGTTGATAGTTGTAGAGTTTAATGGATTTAGTTTTCTCTTCTTCATTAATTATTTATGTTAGGTTTCATATGGTGTCTGGGAGGTAGTGCCTGGCCCTGGTTTCTGTAAGCATCTTGCCTGATCACTCTCTGTTTTCATTTTCCATATAATTTCAATGAAAGAGCAACCATGAATATAGAACACCTCAGCATTTTAACTCTTTAATTTCTTCTAAATAAAATATGAGAGTTCAGTTCTAACCCCACAGGAAACACATTATATCTCCACTGGAAGGATCGGGCGGTTAATTCTGTTAGGGAAACAAGTGAAAACCATTTACACACTGATATGCTGTGTGGGTACGATGCATATGTTTAGTATGTTAAAGTTGATGGTACATGTAGAAATACTGGGCTTTAAAGGATTAATAAAAATCCCAATTTTTGAATCAGGTCTGGTAAGAAAATTTTCAAAGTTGCAGTGTAGCAAAGTTCCTGTTGTGTTATTTAGGAATGAGGTAGAAAAATGGGAGTTACCATAGAGGATACAGTGATAAGGTTGGCTACAAGAAGGCAGAATTTTTTTGTAATGGTTTCAGGGGCATCTTATTCCAGATGTTATGGAATTGTGTAATGCTGTTGTTCCCATGTATGAGCAGGCTGTGAGAGCAGTGAGGGTCACACTTTAAAATGAAAATGAAACGTTAAAAGTGGATCATGTGTGACTCCTCTTTGCCACATCATTGTGGAACAGAACGATGAGATCCATTGTGACAATAGAAACTTCAGAATATCACATTAAGAGACATAAAATACAGTCACAATTTTATGCAGTGTGAATATAGATGGAGTATGGATTGATGACGGGATTTATTCGATTCTTTGATACAGCGTATGGCTACACTTTTCACTGCTATATGCACGCACACACATGCACACACCTGTTCACTGCCATTGCTTGGTAGCAGCTTCATTGCAGACATTCCTCTTACTGTGGGTTCCCAAACTGTTCCTAGCCTCAGCTACCATCTTCTAACAGAGCAGCTCACAACAATTGAACCCTAATGGTTATCTAACTCACTCAACAGCTAACTGGCCCTGCTTATAACTTCTCGGCATATACCGCATTATTCCTGCATTCCTTTTTGCTGAGGAGACACGTTTGTTTCAGAGCTGTTACTTAGAAACAGCTTTTGTATAGCTGTTTATTATGCAGTCATTGCCTAGCAATGGGTCTGCATGCCACAATACAGTTAACTATAACAATCCATGTGAAAGTAATCCTGATCACCATTTCTAGTATTAAATCCTGTTGAGATCTATTATGGGAATTACAAAAGAATCTGTTCATCATGCCAGAGGGGTTTACAAACTTTTTGTCATTTTAATTGTTTTTAAATTTTTCTTTAGAATCCTCTAAAAGCTCATTCTGTCAATATTGTAGCATGTAGATCCATTGCAAGGTACACACGCAACAGATGAACGTGTCATGTCTGCAGTGATGTCACTCAACAATAGAAGAGATGTTGCAAGTGGTGTTCTGTGTGGGTCTAATCCAAGGCTGTGTGACTCAACTGATCAAGTTCGTTGAGTTAGTGCAGTGGAGTGGAGCGAGTTGGTTGGTGAACAGTCATTTAGAGGACTGCTGCAGCTCAGTCATTGTGAGCTGTTGCTATTGGAAGCTGGTAGCTGAGGCAGAAGGATAGTCCACTGTTGGAAGCCATTACCAGGCAACAATTGGTGAAGACGCAGCAGACTGAAAAGACTTAGTGTGTGCTGTAGTAAATTGTAAAATGTGAATTATTGATAGCGCTGTAATTACTTATAGTTGCATACTGTAAGAGTTCAGCAAATCCAATTACCAATCAAAACCCCATCTACGGTCACTCATACGTGTAGAAGTCATAACATTTTCATCATCACCCAGAAGAAATAGAGACACAGGTGCAAGAAATTGTATGTGAGATAGCCCTTCTCTACATATGCCCCCTGCAAGGCCACACATTTTCCCCAACGATGCATTAGCTGCTGGATACCTTGATCATAGAAGGTCTCATTTAGACTGGTTAGAAAGTCTTCCACTGCAGAAATGACATGATCATCTTAGAATCGCTTACCACGAAGTGGCTTCTTTAGCCATGGAAAGAGGAAGAAGTCGCTCAGTGTCAGGTCTGGTGAATATGGTGGATGGGGGAGAATTTCATATCCCAAACTGGCAGCAACTGTCATAGCATGAGCAGCATGAGCCAGTGTGTTGTCATGAAGAAGTCGCACACACGTTTTCCCAGCATTCCACATCGTTTTTTCTTGATTTCCCCTTCCGTAATTCTCTCAGAAGGTTCCGGTAGTACTTGCCAGTGATGGTGATGACCTTTTGTGCATAGCTGGTCATGATGACACCATGCCGATTCCAGAACACACTCAACATCACCTTTCCTGATGACAGCTGGGATTTAGCCTTTGGTGGCAGTGAATCTGCATGTTTCCACTGCTTGCTCATTTCATTTGTTTCAGGGTTATAATGATAGACTCAACGTTCATCCATCATGATCAGGTGGTCAAAAAATTCCACCTATTCGTCTTGACACAACTGCAAAAGTTTCTTTGCCACATCCCTCTGTTGCTGTTTTTGAACTGGTGTCAACAGTCATGGCACACAACACGCAGTGACCTTTGTCAGGTGTAACTTTTCATGGATGATGTTGAAAACCAACCCATGGCTAATGTGGACCTCATGAACAATAGCTTTGATAGTTATGTGCCTATCAAATAGGATCAAAGCTTCCACTTGTGCCAGAATTCCCAGTTCCTCAGCAAAAGATGGTCTTCCACTTGGGGGTTCATTTTTGAGGTTTGTCTGTCCACAATGAAAGCGCCACTTCCACCTGACCACTTTGTCATATGATGATACACCCTCCTGATACACAGCTGCCATCTGGTAATGGATCTCCTTGGCAGACTTCCCTTGCAAATGCAGGAACTGTATCACAGCACGAGCCTCCACTTTCTCAACTGATGTCATTTTGCTTCTGCCCCTTAGGTGGCTCCCTCTGTACACTTGTCATGGGAAAATATGACTGTTTGGCAATCTCAGGAAATGGGCTATCTCCTATATAGAATGATATTTTGGAATTATAATTTTCTCATGGTGATAATTGAAACATTACGACTTCCCATCATACATTTGACAGTATGCTCTTTCCAATTTCTTCCATAATCTATACATTCTGTTATTTATGAAATTTGTAGTTGACTCAGAATTTTAACATTTTTTTTATGTAGTACAGAAAGTTTAAGTGTAAAACAGCTCAACATAAGACAATGAAAATGTAAGCACTTTCAAATATACACTGCTGATAGAAAAATGAAACATGCAGTTAGCTTTGTATTTTGTGAAATCCTTGGGTCTTCATTGTAGCTGAGAGTTTACATAGTTGTTCTGATCAATGTTAGTTGCAGTGGTCTTCAAAATATTATGTAAACATCTTCCTAAACTTTGATTTTACAGTCCAATATTGAAGATTCATGAAATTGTAAACTTCACATTTGCCATGAAATCCTGCCTTATCATTCTATTTATAATTAATAACTGATTCCTTTTACTTTGCAGACAATGTGACAGGAGATTTACATGATATTTTAGAACTCAACATTAATAATGCTTTGAAATCGCTCAATATAACTGAACATGATACGTATGGTGTCCTGCAAACAGTCAGCTGTTCTTTTGCAGCAAACAGTGGTGTCAGGTCAGTATATTTGTTCTTTTTTATTAAACTGCTGTAACACCCATTGAGAATTAACAGAGAAGTCTCATTACTTTTGATATAAGCTTTCATACTGTTAACTTAACCTGCTTTCAAACTATAAACTTAATCTGTTATATTCTCTGTTCTATTCTAATTGTATATTTTGGTGAGTGATGTGTCCAGGCTGACATATGACACATCTTCCACGAAGAACACACACAATTAGATATAAATGTCTTCTGCTATGTACTATACTATGCTTCACATATACAAATCAAAACATACCCAAATCAAAATATGTACTGAAAACATGTGTGCTCACTCATTTATGGTCTACATAGCTTACGTCTACCAACAGTATTTTATTGCCAGTGAGCTATATGATTATCTTGATAACTGTTTATTTAGAAGTTCTTGAAACTTGTATTTTGTATATATCTATATTTTTTAAGTAATGGATGTTATGATTGGGTTGTGAACCAATGAGTAACATACTAAAAGCAAAATGAACCGTAATACAAATAATGTATGACAGAATTGGTGTAAAACCCTCAGATGTGGTTAGCAGTGCTGTTTGGTTTTTAGCATAGCTAGTTCCTCTCCCACCTTTCGTCAGTACGGATTTGAGAGTAATGTTAAATAGAGTTTGGATGCTAGATTGTTCTGACGTTGGACCTTATGTATGGTAGTTATGTTGTGCACACCATCACAAAATATCAGTTTAAGAATAACACATCTTTCCCCACTGTGAACAGTATTATTCATTTTGTTAATACATATTCCATACCAGTCACCCAGGCTCATTAGGCCTGACAGTAGTGCAACTGGACTATGGTGGCCAGAGGTAGAATGAGAGTAATGGCCATAGTAGCAGACAGAGAAGATGTCTTAGATTGGATGATGGCACTGCATACATGTTAAGTTTTTGTACAGTTGTGATTCAGTAACACATTTTACTGCTTTAGAACTCATCAGATGAACTTGAATGCCCTGAACCAATTGTGAGCTAACAGTGTCTCTAGCTAATAGATTCTAAAGGATTCTGATGGTGTATAACACTCAGAATTACCAGGTCTTTGGACTTTGCCCATCATCTGGCATTCTGGAATAAAAAAGAAAAAAAAACTAGAGAACACACCGTTTTTGAAACTGGAATTGTTTCTGTCCCTTTATAAGAGAACCAAAAGAGTAGGTGTCCGCCTTCCCCTCACCTGAGGATGGAAACAGATCCATTGTCTGAAATGTTGTGTTCTATAGTTTTTCAGAATACTGCACAGTGGATGAAGTCGGAAAACCCAGTAATTCTGAGTGTTAATAGCTTGCTTTTTTTTAAATTTGCTAGTGGGGGGGTGGAGTCCAGCTGGGTCCACTCGGCACATTGGCCACTGATTGGCCTATTGTACCTGCCCTGGGTGATTATAATTATGGAGAATTTGGTGGAATGAAGATTAGCAGGGGAAGCCAAAGTACGTGGAGAAACCCGCCCCAGTGCCACTTTGTCCACCACAAATCCCACTTGCCCAGATCCGGGATCAAATGCAGGCCATTGCAGTGGGCAGCCACCGACTAACCACTTGAGCTTTGGCATGGTGTAATAGCTTGCTTACATACATACATACATACATATTTACTTGTCAGCAGCTATTCTGTCCAAAGAGCCACACCATGTCTGAGAGCCATTTTAAACTTCATGCCTAGATTATGGTAATATATCAACCTGCCATCAACAGATGGCAGACTAATGCCCTTCTGTGGCATTTGTTTGCCCAAAGAATGAAATTTATTAAGGTAAAAGATCTTTTATTAATGCAGTCTCATGTGTGAAAGTTGTACCTTGTAGCTTCTGTTGATTTTACACTAGAATTTCTAAAAGTGTAGTTTTTTCTTTAGACATCTTGTATATTTCTGTATTTATATGTGTGTCTCTCTTTCTCCCTGATTTTATTTTGATAGCAGATTTATAATTCTGTCCTCCTAGGCCCATCGGCTGTGTGGTTTAGACACTGGCTTCTCACTGCAGAGGCCCATTTCAGTCCAGCGTTTCATGTGAGATTCATGGTGGCTGAGGTGGCACTGGAGCTGGTTTTCTTCTGAGCTTCCTTTGTTTTCCCCTACTAATTATTGTTTCATCATTGGTCTATACACCTCTTTCATCACCCCTTGTGGTGTGCAATACTCTGAACCAGGTAGCACATTGTCACATCTTCAGCCTTTAAGTTTGGGTTGTCATCTCTTACTCAGCACTTGTCTGGTTGCAGAGTTGGGAGGACAGTAGGAGGTAAAGTAGAATTGTACATTGGAAATTTATGTTGCCTTTTTGGACTCTAAAGGATCCAGGATAATTCAGTTGTTATAAGGACTGTCGATGGTCTGGCTGACCGAGGGATCAGAGTTTGAGTCCTGGCAGGATCCACATCATCCAGACTGGCTCTAGGGCCCACCCAGCCTCCTATCCGATGAGTATGGGGGGCTCTTTCCACGGGTAAAGCAGCAGGGGCATGAAGCTGACTATTCACCTCCAGCTAGTGACGAGGTCAAGAAAATGTGGATCTGTATGTCCACTCCCCCATATGCCTTAATGGCATATTGCTTAATTAGTTAAGCACAGGGACAACTTTACATTTTTTACTTACTTCTTACACTATTGGCCTATGGACATTTATTGACGAACAGTAAACTGACTTTGTATTTTCATAGTGACACAGTTGCCATGTGGACTCAAACCATTCAGAGTATACATGCATCACAGCACGTCACCCTCCCATCAAAATTCCTGGTACTCATTTCTGTTAGAGGCTGAGTTGACCCCAGGGTCATAGTGCAGCTGGAAGGGTTAGGTCAGTTGAAAAAAAAATCCACCTCATTGGGACTTGAACTCATGACCTTCTGGTTTGTAGCACAGTGCATCATCCAACTACGCTACTGCTTGCCCCTGATATATATAGTGTACTCAGTGAAATGCAGATGGGCAGGGACTGGTTACATGTAATTGTTATGTGTACAGGTAATTGGAATGCTCTGATTTGGATTCATATGTAAATAAATAAATAAATAAATATACGAGGAGGTACCCAAAAGAAACCGAACTTATCTTTTTTTAAACTTATTTATTCAAATTTTAAGCACAAACCTTCAATCCCCTTCAAAGTACTCTCCACTTACACTAATACACTTGTCTAGTCTTTTATTCCATTTTTCAAAACATTGTCTAAATTCATCTTTTGAGATGCTTGACAGCGCCTCCATCGTTTTT